AGACTAAAATCACATTTTTTCAACCTTATACTCCAAACAAATGCAAATCATAAACCAACAATTAAAATAAATAATTTAATTAATTTTCAAAACAAATTAGTATACAGCCCCATAATTATATCATTTCAAACAATTCAAAATAAATCAAATATCAAAATTAAAGTTATCCAATGTATGCAAAAAGAAAAAATAATTTGAAGGGCATAATTACATCATTACACTTATATAATTGTCAGTAGACAAAAAGCATTAGCATTAACAATATAGCACATTAAATATCATAAATAAAAAATACTCAAAATAGACTTTGGATCTACACCACTAAGTCTCATGAGCATGCGCCACTTGCGGCTCCTCTTCTAAAAATTATTAACTTCATAATGAGACTTAAAAGTCCTAATAACCAATTTCAATTTTTGATAATATATGCAAATAGTTAAATGTGTATTTGTTAAGTGCGAAAACAACAAGTATATAATTCCAACAAAATATAAGAGATATTATAACACATTACAAACAAACATCATTATCTTTTTCCATTGACCTTAAATTATAGCCCTCACTTGGTGTCAGATTACTTAGCCAAAAATAAATTAGCTTGATTCCTTATAAGTCACTTATTAGTCTCCAATAAGGACATACCACATGACACAAAAATACAATAATGATAACAAATCTCTCAACATTTTTTACAAAAGTGAAGCAATTTAAATATCAACAATACATAAATGTCCAATGTCACAACCTTCATAATTTTCTCGCCAACAACATTATAATATAGCACCACACTTGACAGAAGATATTTCAAAATACATATTTACAATTCTACAATTTGTCAATAAACACACCCCCAAAATTTCTTGTCAAACATCTCAACATATTTTTCAAATAATCACACAAATAATAGTAAACAATACTAATAACAAATTAAAGCATGATTGTCTCGTGACTTTTTCAACAAAGTATTGCTGATAGTTTCTCTTCTATTACAACCTTCACTAACAATACAATCTTCACATAATGCACTATTTATAAATTAGTTTCAATTATTGAAACCAATCAAACAACTCTAATAATAGAATTAGAGAGTATAACATAATTTTCAATCCTTTTATTAATACTAGTTTAGAGTTGGTATCCTCAAGAAAATTTGTAACTCATCTTTTAATCATAAATAAACACTAGTAAATTAAAATCAACTTTAAACCCATTTTTATTTTCAAAATTTTTATTTTTATTCTATAAATTCACACATAAAAATACTTAAAAATTATAAACTTAGTTTTACGCCTAGAATTATCATTCTCTAGCTATCATAATTTGTTTCTCATCCTAAATAATCATGTAAACATCAACAAATTAACTTATATTTTCATATTTTACAAAAATATATTCATAAGAGTCTAAAATTTAACTCATAGGCTTCAAATTTAAATACTATCAAAAATTTGTATTCTGAAACATTTATTATATTATTAACAACTTCAATAACTACATTTATTTATTGTAAATTCTTTCATATTTCCATCAAATTAGAAACTAAACAAAATAGATGACTGAAAAAAACTTTCTAAAATACTTCTACAGTCTTAAAAAGTTTTAAATAATACCTAAAATACCCTATTATGCATGTAGCTCCCAGCTCTCTCTCACTCTTCGTCCCTTCCTCGCGCTCCTTTGGAGCGAGGCAGGAGAAACGGGCGAAGCAAAAGGTGAAGGAGGAGGTCAGAATGCGCTTTGTGTCGCCATGTGAGGGTCAAATAATCTTGCAGGTCCCACACCCTTTTCCTCCTCCATCATATATATATATATATATATATATATATATATATATATTAATATCAACCCCCTTAGAATATATATATATATATATATTTCATTTACGGAATATATATATATATATATATTAATATCAACCCCCTTAGAATATATATATATATATATATTTCATTTACGGATCTCTCTTCTTCCTCTTTTTTTTTAAGTTATGTTTCTTTTTTAATAATAATTTTAAAAAATATTAACTTAAAATTATATTTTAAATTAGATCTAATAATTATTTTTTAACTAATTTACTTATTTTTAATTATTTTTCAAAATTTATATCAACTAAAATTAATTATTAAAATTTAAATTGAAATGTTAGATCTCACAGTAGCGGAGCCATGTCCTTTCGGTTGTGATACTCTAGAAGATACAGTACATTTACTCTATGATTGCCATCATGCTAGAAAATGGTAGGAGAAGTGTGTGCGCCCAGATTGCATGCAGAATTTTTTCAATTTAGAGCAACGGGACTGGATCGCATGGAACATGACCAAATCGGCGGGATATTCATCCACCATGCGTGTCCCTTGGAACATCCTCTTCGTGCATACTTGCTGGAACTTCTAAAGAAATAGATGCAAAGTCTTATTTTAGGAGGGAGATATTGAGGCGTTTGAGGACCCTAGATCCTTCATCTTTAAGGTTGTTGCAAATTTGAGTTTGACTAAGCATTTCGGCTCCCAACTTACTCGAAAGCATGAGGTTACTCGTAACATTAGAAGGGAGGATATTATCACGTTAGAGACTGATGAGACTACCTTAGAGACTAGGGAAAGCACCTGTGGCAATGGGCTAAGGGACACTAACCGGGTCTTGTTACATGGTTTTAAGCTAGAAATTGAATAATGTTCTAGTTGCCATTAGAAAGATTTATGGAATTTTCACCGGCTTGGAACTTTGTTGGAAAAGAGGATTTAGGACCATCGAGATCTTTGTGATCGTACGTATGCTTACTCAATAATCATAAGAGACAATTATAATTATCACTCATTTTTTATATATAATAAATGCTACGAGACATCTTCTAAATAGACAATAGGTTGTTAATATTAATTTTGTTTATAAGGAGGATAATAGTATAGTTAACCATTCTGCAAAGTTGGCCCGTGGTTTAAACTCTAATTTATTGTGGTTTGACCTGCCACCACATACGGAGTTTGTTTTGTGTGGTTCTTTGGTGGGCTTCGTGTCTTCTTTTTTCTATTTCTTTTGATTGTACAATTGTTGTCTCCTGTTTGTTAGCATTCTTTTGGATGAGGTTATTCAGTTTATTCCAAAAAAAAAAGTAGGGGAATATTTGTGCACATGAAGCATTAATATAGATATTAAATAAATTTGTAGGATGTTACTTGATTTAACGTATTTTAACATTTACAAAATCCCCTATCTAAAATATACGCATATAATCACTGAAACCTAATATCAACGAAAATAATATTTAACATCGAAAATATTTAATGCTAGTACTTCATAGAAGGTCTTCAGGGTGATATCCATGGAACAATGTGTTTCCTTGAATATAATTTTTCAGTACATATGCAAAGAAATTCTCATCAATAATTTAAAATTTGAGTGTTTTTGTTCTTTTTAACCTCGTATGGAATATTGATCAACTGTATGATTTTAAATTTATTTGGAATGCAGGGTGCCACAGCCAACCGCTCACACACCAACAGTTCCAAATCGTAATTTTAATCTACTCAAATTCAAAGCCTCTATTCTAAATCATTAATTTCTAGATAAAATAATTGCTGTTCTGAATGTGATCATATCTTCCTTGTTAACCATTCAACGCTGTTTTGATCTTTTTCTTGAAGTATTACGTGTTTTCCAAATGGTAATCAATAGCGTGGGCTCGACAAAGCATTACTATATTACTGTGTTCGCATATATATATGAATCTACCTTTTCTGTTTCGACATTAATCTAAATGGATAGCCCTTGCTCATGGGCACGTTAATTATTATAGGTTTAAAATCAACACGATCAAGTAAGGATTTGATCTATTCTATGATCCAAATGCATCAACCATCGCATCAAAGTTTCAGTATCCACCATATTCATGACAGAAGCATATTCTCCACTTCTTAATTTAAGATTTTGTTTTGTAGCAATTTTTACTCCCCCCCCCCCTCCTTCGAATTAAACCAAGTTATATTACTGTCTGACAAGGCAATTTCAAATCATGTTGATGCGCGTGGGGCTATTCTGTTTGGTATCCCTCTCCGACTTTCAATCGCATCAGATTTTTGGTTGTCATTGCAGACATTTGATTTTTCTTATCGGCGCTAACACGGCTCTTGAAATTATCCAATCGATTGCTTGATCATAACAAGCATACTTAGCCAAGAAATAATCAAAGTCGGCCAAGACTAAAAAAAAGCAAAGAAAAAGATTTTAAAATAGACACCAGAAGTTAAATAAAAACTGAAAAGACAATTTCAGGAAAGTTTTAATTTAAAAACATTTTACCCGTATAGGACTAGATTAATTAAACAAAATTTGAAGGATTAAATTTAATTTTAAAATGTTTCTATGAAAAAACAAATGAAATTGTAGTCTACTATTTAATAAGTTAAAGTAAAGTTGGCCAAAATTTCTATAAAAATATGATACTTTTCTGGTTTAAATATTTTTATAGATAATTAATTTTATAAATTCATTTATAAATTTATTTTTATAAGGATATTATTATATTTTAATATTTTTGGATGCAAGGATTCCATTTAAATTTTTTAATATACCAAACTATATTTTTAAATCCAATTCATTTTTCCTTTGAGTTCAATTTTTAATTTCATTTCTAATTCTATTTCTTTTAAAATGCTTTTAGCAAATCAAACTGGCTTTAAAATTTTTCTTCATTCCAATGTAATGGAGTGATAAATCAAGAGGGGGTAAATAATTAAAAATATAAAATTAATTGCGACGAGAATCGAGAGAATGTAACAGTGACTAATTAATGAGATAAAAAAATGAACTTCGGACCCCAGCTTATAGGCAAATATCAAACGGTGGTGAAAGAAGAGACCAGGAAAGAGGACTCTATGGCGAGGGACGTACTAGGATCTATTTCGGGGGGCCACCAATCGCAGCAACTGCCTTACGTGGCATCCTTTGTTTCGACCTTATAGAGTACATACGACCAGGACGTTGCATAGGATCGAAGCTCCCAACTGCACCACCCGGCTGCATAGGCTGCAGGTGCGGAGCAGCCCGCATTCAGGAAGCGTCTCTCTATCTATAAATAATCGAAGCGTCAGCTCCCTTGTCTCTCTGATTCTTCGTAATCTTGGAGTCCTCTTTCCATTCTCTCTTGTCGGAGCTATTTCTATCTACCTCCATCGGTTGATGGCATCCCAAGCTAGCCTTCTCCTTCAAAAGCAGCTAAAAGGTTAGCGACGACAGGAATTCTGTCTTTGCTTTTGTGTTCGTATTATTAATCTGTTGAGAGGCGCAAAGGGTTTTGCGTGGATTTTCCGCGGTGTTTTTAATTCATCTTCTGCTATTTTCAGATCTTTGCAAAAACCCCGTCGACGGGTTCTCCGCTGGTTTAGTAGATGAAAACAACATATTCGAATGGAGTGTCACGATAATTGGACCTCCCGATACTCTTTAGTAAGCTTTTATTACACTTTTCTTTCGTCTCCTAACAAAAATAAACATGATTTCCCATTGTGAATTGGACTTTCATATCTCCCTTGTATATCCAGTCATAATTTTTTATTGGATATTTTTCTTAAGCGAGCGGATGGGCTTTGGTTGCCGAAAGATAATTCTTTCAATTGCTTACGGGCCCTCTTCAAGATTGGGTTGGAGTGCTTTAGTTTTGGTGATTCTCAGTGGCTTTTAATTAATATCCTAATCATGATGGGTTCATCAAGATAGTAATTTAGGAGATTGTGGGGAAGAGCGAAAAGGGCGGGGGTAGCGGTTGGAGTACTGGAGTTTCAAAGTTGCATTGACGCTCACTAGATTGATGATCGCAGAGAAGGGATAACATTCGTGAGTGATAAGGGGGAACGTGATGAAAGTAATTTAGACGAAATTGCTTTTAACTGTATCTCCTATTTATAAAAGGATTACACTTCATCGAACTGCTTGCTATCTGTCGAACTCTCAGGATTTTGGTACTTAGATTCATTTGAGTCCATCACGTTGTCTTAATGTGTAGGTTTTGCTTTTCTGGGTGAAGGTTAGAAAATGCTTCTAATTCATCACTATGCTTGCCTCTTGTTGGTTGAGTTCTGCTGGTTGATATTTGCGCGCTTTCTATTGTCCTTTTGGCTTTTGAAATTTACTGACCGCTGCTTCGCTGTTTTATAGTGAGGGGGGATTCTTCAACGCTATAATGAGTTTTCCATCAAATTACCCGAACAGCCCGCCATCAGTGAAATTCACTTCAGAGATATGGCATCCAAATGGTTGGTTTTTGCTTGTTGGGACTCAATGCTCCTTGTCTAATTAAAACGACACAAAATTTAACTTATAATGCTGTTCAATTTGTACTTGTGTAGTATATCCTGATGGACGGGTTTGCATATCAATTCTTCATCCTCCTGGTGAGGATCCGAATGGATATGAACTTGCAAGTGAGCGCTGGACACCTGTTCATACAGTAAGTGATAATATAAAACCATAATCTTTCTTTCTATGTACTTAAAGAGAGAGAGAGAGAGAGAGAGAATCTGCCTTTCATTATCAAGCTGGTGGGTGACCTAGCCTTGTTGCCGACTAAGTCAAACTGGCACTAGGTAATACATTTGGGACTAGCATAACTACAGCTTGACACATGTATGCTCTTGCGGAATAATTAAGCTTCAACAATGTAATGTCTGGATATGCGTTAGAAACTTGCTATATATCGTAATTCTTTTACTGGGTATCAATTGTCTGGCTTGTCATGCACGTCACATGTGATATATAGGTGAGGTTTGCTTGTCAATGTTCTCATGCTGTACTAGCATTGCATATGATACCAAGTCAGAGAGTTGTCAGCCTATTCTTAATATACATATTTCCTTGACTTGATATGCCAAGCCTAGGTTACAGAGGATTCCAGTGCTGTAAATTAATTACCCAAAAACATTTGATCATTGAAGATAGTGCATGGTAGCACTAGAATATCAGTTAATGTGATGCTGGTGCCTTGTATTATATTTATAATATACAATAAGTTTGCATGTGAAATTTTTCTTGTATGATTAGCATTGCATTTGACGGTAGGTCATGTCAGGTTGGAGCTCTTTCATGATATATGCATCTTTAAAGAGGTATGCATAGCTATATTAGTAGAATAGACCTTATGACTTATATTTGTCAGCCCTAATCTGGCAGGAAATTTGCACTTGTCCTTGTAGCTTGTCTCTAAATATATTCAGATTGAACATCACATGAGTTGTATGCGTTTTATATGCGCGCATTTTGTGATCTGTGAGTGTGTAACAGCCAAAAAGGAAGAAAAAAGATCTTAAGATTAAAATTCCAAGGTTGAAGTAACAGCTTTCCAGCACTAGCTAATAAATAGAGTAGCTAAAATGCTCGTGAAGACTGTACACATTTAATTCCTCAAAACTAATTGGGCTGTTAGAAATTTCAAGGTTAATTTGCTATTTCCTAACTTTGCTACGTTATCTGGTGATATTGTGCATGTTTATCTTGCAGGTAGAAAGTATAGTTTTGAGTATCATTTCTATGCTTTCTAGTCCCAATGATGAATCTCCAGCAAATGTCGAAGCTGCTGTAAGCTTTTACATGCTTTTGTTTTGTTTTTTGCTCTTACATAGTTGTGTTTGAGTGAATTTCTACTCCCTCTGTTGTGTGATGTTTTGCGTCCTAGATATATTTTGCCTTGTTTTGTACTCTATGCATCCTAGAAGGAAATGAGCTAACTAAAATTTTTCCTGTGACGCTGCGAAAGTCTTTGCAACTTAACAATAAAGTGGATTGTCTATTTTAGATATTGTTGCTATCTTTTGGACCTTAGCATTCTAGTTCCTGAATAGTTTTGGACTTTTGGTTGTGTATATTCAATTTATTTCTCTAAATATTTCCTCAAACTCAGGCACCTAATTTATAAACGAGTTTTGATCTATCATTTATGACGAGTCCATAGAGATATCTGGGTACCATAGTCGTTCCAGATGATTGGAAAAACTTTGCACAATGTGAGGGGGCTTGTCCAAGACTCTTCAATTAAATCTGCATGGACAACTGTAGGTCAATGGAAGAGAACCAAAAGAGATGGTTTCTTCTTCTGCTGCTGTGTGGAAAGGGAGGGTTAAGCCCATGCATTAATTCAACTTCAGGGAGACAGATGTCCCAGGTACAAAGCCATCAAGCAAAGGGGCCAATATACTCAGGCATGTCCTCGAAATACACAACATTAGTACGAAGACTAGATCCTAATTTAGCCATTCAAACTTCCCGGTTTAATTATTATGGAGAAATTGTACAAGTCACATGTAACAACATCATATCCTTTTTTAACTTAGACATGATACCCGCCAGGCAAAGTCCTTTTTCAATTGTGGACAAATTGTACCGGTGACAGGTAACAATACCATGGCAAAATATGATGAGGAATATATCCATAACATGGCTTGCCCTGGTTTAAGTGAAGCTCAATGTATTGTTGATCTGATTTTGTGACACGACATACGTATGCTTATGTATTTTGTATCATGTCTGGGACAGTCTGATGCAAACCCGCTGGGAAGAATTTATCAGACCAGTAATTCGACTTCAAAAATTGTGTACATCTACTTTCTTATGATGTGGTTGGTTTTCTTGATATCTTGTATAAAAAAATGTGATGTATATGCCAAAATATGACCTTGTAAATTATTGTTTCTTCAATCTCAAGCGTCCGAATGTTCATTTGTGGTTGCTGAGACGTATATTTCAATTTATTGTTGCAGAAGGAGTGGAGAGACAGGAGAGACGATTTCAAGAAGAAGGTTAGCCGCTGTGTGAGGAAGTCACAAGAAATGTTGTGATTCATTTACCAGCGCCTGATCCTGCTTATTGTGAACTGGAGGACATGACTTAATCAATGTGTAATGGATTGGTTCACCTGTTACTGCGGTTGATCCGTCTAGAATGCCATTGGATTTGGAAGTTGTCAACATACATCTTTCTTCAGTTCCGTTTTGTTTATTCTCTACACGGCCGCTTGTCATGACTTGGAAAAAACAAATGTATTAAAAGTGCTTTGGCTGGTGTTTGGGGTGACTAGTTTATTGGAAGATTACTTTGTTCATTTCCATAACCTTATTCTTAAATTGAGTTTAGGTACCACCAAGTTTTGTCTTTTGCTGGAAATTGTTACTCAGTGACTTGCTATCATTCCCCTTCCCCCCCCGGGGTGTTCCATCTCAAACTGTCGCATGCTTATAAAAAGAAACTGTATATTTCCCTTTCTTCAATTCTTATTTTTCTTTATAGAAAGGTATGGTGTGGATGGCCTCACCGCGTGATAACACAGGATATCGTGACTGCGCAGGGTTGCTTCGCAGTGAAGTATGGAGATATTATCCTCTGTTCTTTTGGTGCTGCTATGTGAAATTCCATGTTAACCCATGGTAGAACTTTTTCTCGACGATTTTTATTTTTTTGGGCCATATTTTTGTCGACGATTCAAGCGGGGGAACGTAACCAGTTAGTAAAATATAATGAAGAGCTTTATCAAAAATATATATGTACATATATAATATGAAAAGTTTTTTGTTTCACATGTATGGATCACGCACGTATATCGCTTGCAGAGAAAAACCTAGAAGGTGACAAAGATGAACCCGTCATCATCAACCACCGTCTTAGGTGTATGGTCATGGATTTGAAGATTACTATATAAAACGTGAGGATTCAGCCAACATGTTAGCACATCCTTTAGCCTCCCTACAAACAAAATCAACGTGAGTTTCTCCACTTCATCAATAACATAAGCGATAGGGTGACTGCAATTATTTTCCTGGTTACCATGTCCATATTAAGTGCCTTTGCACAGTCGGAAAACCTCAATTATATATAAGAGTGTATTAGGGATTATGTATAATTGAATATGCTTGATTACATCATTGGTTGACTGGTTGAAACGCATATTTTCTAGTGCTTCATTGGCGGTGTTGCTCTCTCCAAAAAAGAAGTAAATATCTCTCCAATCCGCAATAAAACTATAGTCAATATTAAATTTCAAAAAAACAAAAAGTTAATTTCCGTTTTTCAGTTGTTTATCTATAACTGCTATTATTATGTCGATGCAAATATTCATTTCAATTAATTTATAAAATTAATTAGTATTATGCGTTGATTTAACAATTGTAGACTTAACAACCAAGATAGTAAGATGGAGAATGGAGGGCTTGTTCATAGTCTATGTCTAGATTCAAGAATGTTACAGCTTGTTTGGTTTCTATTCTCATTTTTCATTTTTAAAAACTGTTTTGTAATACAGTTTTTAAAATTATTTCTCAAAACAAAATAAAATGAAAACCTATTTGGTTAAATCAATTAAAAAAAGTTTTAAGATTAAAAAATAAATTGATAGTGATGGTTATGGATAGTTAATAATGATAATTAATAATAAAAATGATCAAGGTAACTATAATTTTTAACAATCAAATGTAGTGAATAAGAAAAATAAAATGAAAAAAACTTGGAATTGTTTCTATTCCTTTTGTTTTTAAAAATAAAAAATAAAAATAATTTTGAAAACAATTAAATGAAAAATACTTATTCAAACAAGTTTTAAAGTTTTTTTATTTTTAAAAATAAAAAACAGTTTTTAAAAATAAAAAACTAACAGGCCTTTAATGAGTACCTTCATAAATTGTGAGGGAAAAAAAGAGGAGAGCTTTAACTACCCTGAACATGGAAAGTTAAATGGATTAGTCGGTGCAATATTGAAAATTTGGTTTTCATTTTTGGGTAAAAGAAGAACAAGAAAGCTTAGATTTTCTTTCTTTCTTTCTTTGTTTTTTTTTAAATAGCAGTAACAATCCACTAAAACGTGTACCCCATCAATCGATATATAAGAAGTTTTTTAAAATTTTTTTATCTTTAAACATGAGAAATTGTTAGTATTTTTTAATTAATGAATTATTATATTTTTATTAAATTAAAAAATAAGTATTATCATTAATTTATTTTAAAAAAATTATTTTTTATTTACAGTAATTAAGGATAAAATTAAAATGTTAGTGTATTTTTAATTAAATAATTAATTTTTATTAATTTATGTAATTTGATTAGAAATATTTTATATATAAAAAAAGAGATAGCATTTTGTGCGGGGAGATTGCGTATAATCACATCAAGTCATGTTATTGAATATTGGGCTCGTTCATCGCTATCAATGTTTCCAAAACCATAAATTAGCCACTTGTATGGGTCAGCATTCCCTTCATCTTGGCCTTGAAAATCAGTTTGTGAGCGTGCAACATGGTAAACGTCAGCTGCACAGTGAACGAATAAGCCACAGTATATCCAAAAAACCAACAATGACGAACACATGATTGAACAGTTCAGAATTAAATTCTCCTCCACCACCCGTACTCTTAACTAACACGGTCAACAGTGGCGTGGCGTGCACAAAACTCTAGCTCAAAATGTAAAAATTGTATAAGAAATTTGAAAATGGGTTAAGAGATTCACATTTGAAGGGTGGTGGGGTAAATATTCAAAATTTACCATGCTGAACCCTCATCAATTGCTTATAAATCCGGCATAGAGCTCTGTAAATTAGGGCTGTGCAAAAGTCTCCCAGTCCTGTCTGGTCTAGTCCAACCCGAGATGGTCTCAGTCTTGTTCGGTCTGTATAGTCACTGGTCCTTCAGGACCAAAAGGACTAAAAAGACCAGACTATTTTTTCGGGTTGGACTGGACAAGAGACCAGGCATCCGGACCACTTGGTCCAGTCCAGTCCTATTAATTTTTTTATTATAATTATAATTAATTTATTTTTGACAAATGTTTAAATTGTAATTGATGCTAAGGAGATGATTGCATAAAGATTTATTAAGTTTGTTTCTAAATTGTTATTGTAATATAGTGTTGTTGAATTTTTTGAGTACTGTTTTTATTAAAGTTTATAAATTTAAATAATTTAGACTATAACAAAAATATTTTTTTTCTTATTGTTAGAAATTATTATGGATTTATTATTATTATAAGTATTTTTACTATCTTAATTGAGTTTATTATGTTGGAATGGATTATTGCCTCTCATAGAATAAAAAGAGGGAAAAAAAGCTAAGTGAGTACTGGACTGACAGAACCAGTCTCCCAGTCCTATGGACCAAGTCCGGTCCTGTTAATCTTCGGGTTATCACTGGACAAGACTGGACTACGGGTTGCCTAACCCAGTCTTTTTCATGAAAGAGACCGGACTTCGGGTTAGGGTGAAGTCCAGTGCCGTCCAGTCTTTTGTGCAGCCCTACTGTAAATATCATTATTTGGTACATGTATGCAGCAGATATAGATAAAATATTTTGGCCCAGAGGAATTAGAGGAAAAATTCTCAGAGTTATCTTATTTTATTTAGCTCACTAACGGAAATTTGTGAGTGTGTAGAGAGACTGCAAGGAACATGTTCATCATAGTTTTCCTCCGCTTTCCAGCAGTTCCAATTTCCAAATGCAAAAGCATTTAAAAACCACATATTTACTCTCGTCGAGTCCCTAATTGCAGTGCCGTCGACTATTGTTGGCTAATAATAAAGTGGCAGACGTGTGTTCGTAAGTCCCGATGAAATAACCGAAAAGAGGGGCAACCCAGAAATTCGGCACACTATCATCGTCGATGAAAATACTCAGAAATAAATAACCCAGCTGGGATGATTGATAATTTGTCAGTTTTTTTTTTTTTAATTCACTCTTTATGTTATTGGCTGAATAAAAGGATGACCTAAAGTTTTCATGAAGACAATCTGAAACAGAAAGTAGGAAGAGCAACGTGTAAAGACGTTTACGCACTAGGTCGCGGAGGGCTGTTTTTTGGAGCCACTGACAAACATTCACCACATTGTTTCATAGGATTCCACCATGTATGGTCATGGAAGAACTTGTCTGCTGGTTATTTTAACATTAAAACCTTTCCCGAACAAAATAAATAATTATCGTCAACGTCAGCCACCCTTAAAGCAAGGGGGCAAAAAAAAAAAAAAAAAACCGATGGTGCGCGTGGGAGAGTGGGTGGGTTTAGTTTCCTCTGCCCTGCAGACACTAGAACTCGTGTTGCTTTCGTCAGCAAAAAAAAGCAATTAATTAATTCCTTCCTTGCTCTAAAAATCGGAGAGAGTATACTATATAGTACAAATATACATTATCATTTCTCTATTCCTTTATTTGGTTAACTTGTAAGGGAAGACATTGACGATTAACGAATAGAAAGTGGGTATAAACTGACTCAGAAAATAAAATGATGAAAGTGGCGTTATGATTAGGACATACAAGTATAAGACGCAGGGCGTCTGCTTTAACGAACTTGTGTGACTATTCTAAATATTTGATAAGTGCACTGTGGATGTCCCACTTGACTCTTCCTCCTTCTCAAGGGAAAGATTTGCTTTCAGTACGATTCTGAACGGAAATTAGTCTCAGTAGTGGAAATCTAGGGAAATTCCACTTTAAACCACATTCTCTGACGATATTTTTTTGTTTTTATTCCTCAACAATGGTTGGCTGCTAGATTCAACCGCGTTTCACCAATCATTCCTCAAAATGAATGCTTCTCATCCATCTATACCGTATATGCAAGGGCAAGATAATTGATTTTGATTGTGCTGTCTAACTGTTGCATGCGGTTTAATTAATCATCATATTGTTCACACATGGTGTTTAAAATTTTCGAGATAAAACTACTTAAACATTGCTTTGATTTTGACCAAAACTAATATCTGGTTTCCAAATACAGATCAAGACATAGTTTTGCCATGAACTGAGTTTCTACAAATGTACGGTTTGCTTGTTTAGTTTTTTTTTTCATTTCTCAATAAGTTGAATGTTTATTTTAAAACGGAAGTATTATTGTTTTTAATGTTAACGACAAAAATACTTATTTTTTGATTAGAAATTAGGAGGCCTGGTAAGGATAAATTTAAAAAATGATTAAAAAAGTAGTGTATATAATTAGTTTATCAATAAGTCACTTTCCTAATAATTAGGAAATTGAAGTTGGTCTTAAGAAGTTTTATTTCTACAATGAACTAAATAATAGGGTAGGAAATTTAATTTTCCCTTTACGCTTCTCTCTAACCCAAGTTATCCCTAGCATAATATTGATTAGGTTTTTTTTTCCCCCTCCTTTTCTTTTGAGAGAAGCTAAGGGAGAGGAGGAGAAAGGTTTGGTTTAGGAAAAGTAAATGGAGGGACAGGCAAAATTTTAATAAACCTGCCCTTTCCTCCCTTATTCTCTCCATTCGTGTAAGATGAAAGGGAATCAAAACGGTGCCTTTTTTTATACGCGATGACTAAAAAAAATTTGCAAAGTTTCAATATTCTCATGCTATCCTTGACATCTGATAACTCACATAATGTAATATGCAAGGATTGAAAGTTTCTATATCTGAAAAATAAAGAATGTCGAATTATAATATAATTGTTTCCTTTTTCGTAGAAAGAGAAAAAGAGAAGGGGGAAAAACAAAACTAACTAATACAATTTGTGAAAATAGTTACTTATATTATTAATTTTAATATGAGATATATTTATATAAAGGAAAAAAATCTATCATAGAATAAAATAAAGAAACATGAAAGAATAAAATAATAATAAATAAATAAAAATAGTTATAATCATCCTAACTATAACTATTTAGAATAATATATATAATTAAAAATCTAATATTGTCCTATGTTACCTCCCACAAGCTAGAGAATGTATGTCACACATGCCTAGCTTGGATAGGAGATCATTGAAGGGACCAGCTTAAAGGGGCTTGGTGTAGATATCAACATTTTGATCCTTGGAGCGAATGGGAAGTAAATGGTTGATGCCAGCTTGAAGTTTATTATGAACAAGATGATAATCTAGTTCAATATGCTTAGTGCGCTTATGAAAAGTAGGATTAGAAGCAATATGAAGAGCAGACTGATTATCACAAAAGATCAATGCAGGAGAAAGATGAGGCATACAAAGGTCTTGTAAAAAAATAGCAACCATTGTAACTTATAAGCCACAGAACCAAGAGCTTAATATTCATCCTCAAAAGAGGAATGAGATACAGTGGAGTGTTTCTTTGAGAGCCAAGAAACCAAAGCTTTATAAAAAAAAACATAAAAGCCAATAATGGATTAATGAAAATCAACATAACCAGTCCAATTAGAGTTAGAGAAAGAGCCTTCAAATTAATATCAGAGTCAATAGGAAAAAAAATAAGCCTTTGCTTGAAGAGGACTTAAGATAACAAAGAACTTGATAAGTAGTTTATAGATGAGTCCTGCATGAATCAAACATAACCTGAGATAACTGTTGGACAGCAAAAGCAATGTCAGGATGAGTTGTTGTCAAATAAAGAAGATGACCAATGTGACGCTGATAAGTAGATGGATTACTAATAGGAGTACCATTATCTTTAGAAAGATCGAAAAACTGGCTATAAGGGCAGAAGCTAGTTTGCAAGCAACATAACCACAATCAGAAAGAATGTTTAAAGCAAATTTCTGTTAGCAGACAGATATACCAAAAGATGTTTAGGCGATTTTCAAACCAAGAAAATAGTAGAGTAACCCAGACCCTTGATTCTAAAAGGCTAACCAAGAAGACTTTTAATATTGACAATTTCAACAGAATCATTACTAGTGAAAATAATGTCATCAACATAAACTAATGACAATGTGAATGAAGAATCAATCATCTTGACAAATAAAGAATAATCAATTTTAGCCTAGAGATAACAATATGAAGTAAGAGCAGTTGTAAGCCTAGAAAACCATTGGTGGCTAGCCTACTTCAAATCATAAAGAGACTTTAGAAGTTTGCAAATAATATTGGGTGATGGAAAAACAAAACCAGGAGGAAAAGCCATGTAAACCTCCTCATCCAAATTACCATGAAGGAAGACATTATTGACATCTAACAACTCCAACAGCCAAGAGTTGGCAGTTGCCAATGCCAAAACTAAATGAATTATGGTTAGTTTAAGTACAAGTTAAAAGGTATTAAAGTATTTAATCCCTTCTGTTTGTGTATAACCTTTATTGACCAAACGAGCTCTATACCTGTCGAGAGAACCATCAACCTTAACATTCTTTTTAAACACTAATTTACAATCAATGAGATGTTTGCTTATAGGGAGTTCAGTCAGAATCCATATACTAGTTTGCTTAAGAGTAAAAATTTCAAATTGCATAGCTTTCCTCTATTTAGGATATTTCATTGCCTCATTATATGTCTTAGGCTTAAAGGAAGCAAAAACAGAGAGAACAAAGTGTGTGTATATGGGAAGGAGAAAGACAATTATAAGAAAGGACAAAAGATAAGGGATAATGGACACCTGGATAGAGGAAGAAGATGATATTAAGGCAAGGAATGAACAATGATAATCATGCAAGTGTTGAGGAGGGTTGCGGGATCGAGAAAAATGGCGTAAAGGCAATGAAAAAGGGACATTAGTAAAAGAATGATATGAAAATGTAGGAGAAACGGGAGTTGAAGATTTTAAAGTAATAGAAACAACAAAAGTAAAGGAGGATTGAATGATAAAAGGATCGGGATAATTAAGGAGAGGTGTAGATTGTAGTGAAGGAAAGTCAGTAGAAGAATAAGAAGAAGAAGTAGAACATGGAGAAAAAGAAAATTTGACTTCATAGAAAATGAAATGTCGAGTAATAAAAATTTCACAAGAATGCAAATCAAGATATACAAAACCTTTGGTGCCAAGGTGAAAACCAAGAAAAATGCATTTCCTAGCTTAATGATCAAATTTATTGTGATGAAAAATAGAAGTGGAACTAAAAGAGAACTAAAGACACAAAAATTAAAAAAATCAGGAAACGCGTTATGAAGAAATTTGTAAGGTGTTTGTTATTACAAAACAAGGGTGGAAAGACAATTAATGATGTGAACAGCATGTAAAATAGCATAAGACCAATAAGTTAAAAATAAATGACTTTAAAATAATAAAGCTCGAGCAACATTAAGAATATGCTCGTGTTTGCATTCCACAACACTATTTTGTTCAAGCATTTCAATACAGGTTGTTTGATGAAAAATGCCTTTTGAATCAAAGAAACAATGCACGAGGAATTCAAGACCATTGTCTAAACAAATGATTTTTATAACAAAAGAAAATTGATTTTCCAAAAATAGAACAAGACACTCCAAATGAGTTCTAGTTTTAAATTTTAATTTTGTCAAAATGATGCAAGTAAAGTGAGATTAATCATTGACAATAGTAAACAAATAGTAATGGTCATGAACAGAAGCGATATATATTAAATAGACCTTAGACATCAACATGTAAAAGTTTAAGAGAACGAGTAATGTGAGAAACATTTACAAGAAATGATAATTTTTTTTATTTGACAAAATGACAAACATCACAACTTTTATTTAAGGTAAGTTTACATTTGATTAAAGATGATTTTAGACCTAAAATACTAATAGCATCAAAGGAGGCATGTTTTAACCTAAGATACCATAAATCAAAAGAAGGTATAGATTTAAAATGTAAAGTAACAGGAGAAATTGAAGAATGTGAGGATCTACTTGCATGATCTTGAAGAACATAGAAATCATTCTAAACCTTAGTTATACCAATCATCTTTCAAGAGTCCAAGACTTGAGTGAAACAATGAGTGACATTGAGGATTAAGAAACAATGAATGTGAAAATTAAGTTTAGAAACAGAAATCAAATGATAGCCAATCTAAGGAATAAACAAAACATTAGTAAGGTAAAAATTAGAGAAAAGATAAATGGTTCCATAATTATGAGTATGAACAACAGAATCATATGGTAACTGAACAAATATAGGAGAAATAGAAACTAACTCAAAAAAACAACCAATAGAAGAACATATATGATCGATCGTGCTACTATCAATGATCCAAGCAGATGAAAGGCGTTTAGAGAAAAGTAAGTGAAATATACTTGGTGTTAAAGATGCGTTGAGAGAAGGAGTGGAAGGAGAGACAGTCACAAGATTAACTTGTGTCAAAAGAGTTGATGAATAGTAGGTGTAGAGGTTTGCATAAGAGCAAAAAGCTTATTTATTGATCCCAAGTGAATGGCAGAGAGGCAAAAGAAGAAGAAGACAGAGTAGTTCCATCAACAAGTATAGGAGCATCCAGAGTAGTCATAATGATGGAAGGCAGAATGATGAGTTGGGGTGCCATAAGGTTCCAAAAGCATGAAATAACACAAAAAGGGAAAATAATGAAATAGAAATTTCATTGGCTCCAGTACCATAATATAATTTGTGAAAATAATGACTTATCTTATTAATTTCAATATGAGATATATTTATATAAAGGAAAATATCTATCAAAGAATAAAATAAAGATCTATCAAAGCATAAAATAATAACAAAAAATAAATAGTTATAATTACCCTAACTATAACTATATAGAATAATATGTATAATCAAAAATATAATATTTCCCTTTGTTACTAGCTAAGAGCCTCTTTTTTTCTTTGTTTAACCAAACAAATCCTATGATGAATATTAATTAGGGGGCATGACAATAAATTTTTAAAATAAAGAATTTATAACAGTTATATCTCTGATAAAAATTTTAAAAAATAAAATGAGTTGCAATATTAATTAAGTTGCAAATTGAGAGTTATATTTAAAATTTAAATATTTTATTTTTAATTATAACTCTTGAATTTGAAACTGTTTAAATTAATATTTATAATTAATTTTATGTAAAATCTTGTCAAAGACCCATCTATTATAAAATCATTGTTTTGGAATTTAATGTTATTCTCTCAGTTAATTTATTAGGTAAGTGGTGAAAGTAGGGCTTCCATGAAACACAATATTTTACTTGGAATAAGAAGAATAGATAGAATAAAGCATGGATATATCCCGCGGATGGGCTCACCATTGAGATAATAAAAAAATTACCACTTGAGTACGACTTAGTTGAAGTTCGGATTCGGACAAGAGAAAATGGTCGGCTTATGCAGACAGGAGAGTCAAGACTCAAGCCTGCGGAAATATGTTACACATTACACACACGCGTTGATCCTGTCCTCTTCTCCTAGAAATGATATTTAAAGTACTATTTATTATGAATATCGAGATGAAATCCAGAGCGTGATGTTCTCTTTTAAACATGCCAAAATATTCAAACTAATTAAGTCATCAGCACTGATTCATATATAGTCATCATCACTGGTTGCTGCCATCACACCAATCTTGCGCACTGTCTGGCGGTCCCGATCATCTCTATAAAATCCAGATTTTCAGGACTCTTAGCTCAGAAACTAAAACAAATTAACCCACAAATACGGCTGGCTAGTTGAGCTTCTTAATCAAGTTAAGCATGCCTACCATTGGCGGTTCCAAAGCGGTCTGGCGACGATGCCTGGCCTCAGCATTCCGAACCGCCATAGCCTGCACCATCGTCGGTTGCATCACCCTCTTCGGTCCTTCCTCAATCCAACGGACAATCGCCTTCCCTGCATTCTCCTACGTCACTGTTATTCTCATCGTCAACGACGCCACTTTGGGTGACACCTTACGTGGCTGCTGGCTCGCGCTCTACGCCACCATCCAGAGTATAGGGCCTGCTATATTGAGCTTGTGGCTCATAGGGCCGAACCGGTTGACGACGGGCACCACCTCCTTGGCGGTGGCCCTGGCCGCATTTGTGGTCGTGGCTTTGCCGGCTGACTGGACTCATTTGATCGCTACGCGCATAGCACTGGGTGAGATAGTGATTGTGTACGTCATGGCTTATGTTCATGGCGCCCACACCGATCCTGTCATGCACCCTCTCCGACTTGCAGCTAGTTCCGCCATTGGAGTCTTGGCCTGTGTTGTCGCATTGCTCATACCCTTCCCACGTCTTGCATGTCGTGAGGTGATAGATCTAGTTCTGTAGGCTTTCTCTGCATATTAATTTGGGGTTTTCATATTTCGAAGACTGAATGAACGTCTAGAATATTTCTTAGCTAGTAGTCGTCGCGATCAACCTCTGTAAAGTGGGAAATAGAAAACTCTAGCTTCTTACAGAGCACCATGATCATAATTCGCGCACCATCACCACCGGCACCACTATGGAGAATAGATGCTCCATAGAATAAATGTTACGCATGCCTTGTCCACTAAAAATTGGTTCGTTTTCATTCCTAACGTGTTTTGTTACATACTGACATCAATGAAATTCTATATTGGTGTTTTGTTGCAGGTGAAACAGAACCACAAGCTGCTGGCTCAGAATACCTTGGAGAGGCTGAAACTTCTTGTGAAGGCAGCATGTGAAGGGGACAAGACTACAGCTGTCGTGTCAATCTCTCGTGCCAAGTGTTTAGCAACAAACCGAACAGAGCTCCTTCAGAATATCACGCGTTACCATGTACGTTTATGATTTATCTCTTTGCCATGGACAATATTTTGTTTTGAATTTAAAATGTTCATTTGCAATAAATATTTAATATTTTTTTCATTTGAATTTCTTATTATTATTATTTTTTTAAACCTCTTTGACAGGAGAGCATGGAGTGGGAGAGGCCTCCATTTTTGAGACCCCGTGACTTGAGCCAGAGAGAGAGGTTTGAAGAGATAGATACGACTTTGAGAGGGATGGAAATGGCGATGAGAAACATCAATTCATTTCCCGTTACAGTTCTTGATAAGGATCTTCAACAAGGCCTTAATAGACTCGAGGATCATGTTAACTTAACCTTGAAAAATGCTAAACACAACATAAATGGTTGTTCACTGACCGTTCCTGAACCCAACACAAAAGGTGCAACACACTTTATCCAATCCCTTCAAACCATTCCAGCAGCCCACCGAGACTTGCCCATCTTTTTCTTCTTATTTTGCGCCAAACTTCTGCACAAAGAATCAATGGCCAAATTTCCAACTTTGAGTGAAGAACAGAAAAAGGAAAATCCCTCCGTGTCTAAAAAACAGTGGGCTAATTGGGCCATAACTGTAACATTCCCAAAGCTGATTCCAGCGTTTAAATGTTCTCTCTCTCTGGGCCTCGCAGTGTTGTTGGGCTTAATATATAGCAAAGAGAATGGGATCTGGTCTGGACTCCCTGTAGCCATAAGCTTCGTATCAACCAGGGAACCAACACTAGCAGTAGCAAATGTTAAAGCCCAGGGAACTGTGATAGGAACCGTGTATGGAGTACTGGGTTGCTTCGTGTTCGAGAGATTCTTGCCAATAAGATTCCTCTCTCTTCTTCCTTGGTTCATTTTCACAAGTTTTCTTCAAGAAAGCCGAATGTATGGAAAAGGTGGTGGGATTTCCGCAGTCATTGGGGCCGTACTAGTATTGGGGAGGAAAGATTTTGGGCCGCCGAGTGAATTTGCTTCGGCTAGAATTATGGAAACCTTCATTGGGCTATCTTGTGCTATTCTGGTGGACCTTATCTTCGTCCCCAAACGAGCTTCTTCGTGCGCGAAAATTGAACTCGCTCGAAGTCTGGCCTCGCTTCATGATTCATTTGGATCGCAGAGTCTTATGGGGAAAACCAGCTTGGAAGATAACGTAAAGAAATTGAGAGGGCAAGTTAACGAATTGAAGAAGTTCGTTGCAGAAGCTGACCAGGAGCCTAACTTATGGTTTACGCCTTTTAACAGTGCTTGTTACAAAAAGCTTTTGAAGTCGCTGTCAGAATTGACGGATCTCTTGCATTTCGAAGCTCACGCATTGAAGATCCTCCAGCATGAATTCCAGAGAAATGAAGCTTGCTGGAAAGAGACTGTAGAGGCTACGCTAGAACGCGACATTGGAAACATAAGGGAAGTAATTTGTTCCTTGGTTAAAAGTTTTGAGGAAATCTGTAAGATCAAATCGCTCAGATTTCTTGAGAAAGAGCTTGAGAAGAATAGCATAAACTGTGATCTCGAGTTGGGAAAGTCACCAAAATCTAAAGTCCGATTGGTCTCTGGTTTGGGCGAAGATGACATGGAAAAAGCCATGGGGTCATATCTTCAACACTCGAGGAATGCTGTTGATACCATATATGGGGGTGAAGAAGGTGAGGAGGAGCTGAAGAGTGAAGTTGTGCTGGGTTTGAGTGCTTTGGGGTTCTGTTTAAGTGCGTATATGCGGAAGACAATGGAGATTGAAGATGCAGTTAAAGAGTTGGTCCAGTGGGAGAATCCTTCAAGGGAGATTAATTTGCATCACATCTCTTATAAAATTCATTCTGTACCCAAATGACAAGTTCAGGTACATAATTGCAATGCCATTGTTTATTTTCAATTTTAGAAAAAACGAAAAAGTTTCTTGCTAACTCTGTAGCATAGAATTTCACGTTAGCTGGCAAAAAATTGTTATCAAGCAGTATAATTATTTTTATGCATTAGATGAACTTACAAGTAATAAACTGTTACTAATTATTAGCATAGATTTGCGAACACAACTGTTGTACCGAAGACTAGGAGGCAGGCTTTCCCTCTCATTTTTCTTTCGGTAAAAATTCAATGACAATTACGTGTAGATAATGAAATCTATTTTTAATATAATTATTAACATTCATCCACGTCACCTCCTTCATGTTTGGCACGTCATTAGCCATTTTGAAAACAAAATATTTCAGAAAAATGGAAGTACGGCAGGAAAAAAGAATGGAAGAAGATATCACTGACACTACGATTAAACCTCATATTAAGTTAAATTTTCAATCCATGCTTTTATTGTTAAAGTCAAAAAAATAACGATGCAATTAAAAATTAATTATTTTTTATTTTGCAAGTACCTTAGTAGTATTTATATTACTTTTTTTTTTTCTTACTGCAAACAAACGGTTAGTTCATGATTCAATGTCGTTCAAAAACGTACCTACATGACATGTCAGCTCCTGAAATTGCATCACTTTATACAAACAAAATTTAATAGTGGATTATTGCAAGATGAATATTAAATTTGTTACCGAAACATCTTAAAGCAACCAACTTGTGATGACCCTCTTGACGTTAAAAAAAAAAAATACTTAAAAGATGCTGTGAGAATATTTAAATAGGATTACATGAAAAGTAAAATTAAAATTAACACTTCGAATTGTTAAAAATACTGTATCATATAAAATAGAATAGTTATTATTAGTATTGTTTATTTATTGATAATGTAAATATGTGTAAAAAAAATTCATTTTATCCTTATATTTATTAATTTAAATATTTATGTAAATACATTTGTCACTCATCATGAAGTATAGTAGTAATTAAGATTAGAGGTAACAAAAAAAAACTATATATTTTTATAAAAATAAAAACTTTATTAATATATAATTTTTTTAAAAAGCTGTTTATATTTTGAATAAGAAAAAGTATTATTTCTTCAAACCCATGCAAGAATTCCTTTGGGACGCCAATGGGCCATGGTTTTCTAATTATTTAGCAATATAAAAACTTCATGCCCACTGCCCAGTAGTGATTTAAAAGTTTGAAAATTTTGAATAGAATGTAACATGATAATTTTAATAAATCAATATCTAGGAACTGCTGTAAACGAGCGGTTAAATACTTAAGTATGCGATTTTGAGTTCGATTATCTGTGAATGTAGAAAGTATTTTGAATCCAACAAGAATATGATTTATTAAAATAATTATACTGAAAATGCCGTCTGCCGGAAATTCATTGCAGTAATTTAATTTAATGACTCATAATTCATGGTCTTATCCAAATGACGTGGCAACACCTCGCAAGACATCGTTCAACCGCACATGCAACACAGCAACAGCAGATACAGCATTGTGTTTTGGGGAGAGATCAGAGACTGTACCCTCGAATTCAAGGAACCTTCGTGACGGTCCGACTGAAACAGCTTTTCTAAGCTCAATTATCCTTAAATTTAATCAACTCTTAAGCGTGTTATCGCTTCTCAATCTGCCCTTCTTCAGATCTATATTATTTCTTCTTAAATCATCTTTTACCAAAACCGTGGACATCTTCTGCATCTAATCCAATAGGTAATCAACTATTCCCGAAGCGATCAAAGATTTATCGCAAGGATGGTTGAAGGGTGCTTCGAAATTTCTTCTGCCTGTTGCTTAAGTTGTTCTTCATATCCCCGAGTCATGGACTCTGCATCTAACTGTTTTTGGGCCAGAAGCCCTGCATCTAGTTGTTCGAATAACACATTTACTGTTAATGCGTAGAAACACTTGATTAGCCACCATTATCATTTGTTGAAGTTACGTCTCATTCCTGGTTTTGCTGTTGCCGCCGCATAAAAATGGTCTTCTCCTTTAGTGAATTTGAAGCCTTCGAAATCGAATCATGTTATTTCTTTATTCTGTGGGTAGCTTTCTCGAATTTTCTAATTTAGTGTTTTTTGGGTGACATTTTAATTTTCTGGATATATCTTCTTCTATAGAATGGATCTCTGATCATGGGTTATTTGGATCAGAACTGTGGTTGGGGTTTTTGGTTGATCTTCGCTTAAATTCCAGATCAGGTCTATCACCGGCTCTCTCTTTCTCTTTTTCTGCTTGTGGCTGAAGTCGCTCTTCCCTATCCCTAAGCCACCGATCCTGCATCCAATTGTTTTAAGTCACTTGACTTAAAAAAAATTTTATGACCCTTTTAATGTGGGTAAGTAATTGACTGCTCGCAAATTCGTGCAGGAATTGAATTTTGGATGTTTGTACAATGGCAGCGAACTCTTCAAATGGAGAACAACAAAAAGCAACGAAATCACCTCCCCTCCCATCCCCTTTGCGTTTTTCAAAATTCTTTCAGGTGAAGTATCGCATCTCATTTTTGTTTATGAGAAGTTCATGCCAATTCGATCTGGTTGTTGGCAAGCATTCTCTTCTAATAGCTCTCAACTTTTAGTATAGATACATGTACTTTTCAAAATACATGATTAAGACCTCTCAAGAATTGTTTTCTATATCTTAATGACCATAATCCTGACATTATATACATTGATTTTTTTTTTTTTTTGTCTATCTTAAACTAAACGAGGTGCTCTCTTCTCAATATTTTAAGTTCTCAGCCTGGGATTTTTACTACTGGTAGGAGGAAAAAGGAAAAAAAAAATGGGGGAGGGGATCAGGAATTGGTCTGTTGAACGCTGGGAGGACATTAGACTTACTGCTCCTGCTATGTTGATAAATTAAAGATTCTTCCGTTATCATAAATATATTTCCCTTTTGCCTATTTTTTTGCAAAACTATGGTTAAATGTATGTGTCATATTCTATCTGGTAATTGAAAAGTTGACCGTATTACCAGAAAGGTACTTTTGCGTGGATAACCTGTTTTATATGATTGGCTTTTCTAATTTGTCACTCTCATTTAACTGATATTCCCTTTGTTCTTGACAATAGTCCAATATGAGAATCCTGGTCACTGGAGGAGCTGGATTTATTGGCTCTCACCTAGTTGATAGATTGATGGAAAATGACAAAAATGAGGTTAGCATGTCCAGTATCTCTATGAACACAGTCATCAAGTTGTCGATGATCTGATGAATTTTCTAGCATAACAACACGACTTAGTTTGCCAGGTGAAATAAAAATCTTGTTTTCATATTTTTTGGCTTATAGGTAATTGTTGTTGATAACTTTTTCACTGGATCAAAGGACAACCTTAGAAAATGGATTGGTCATCCAAGATTTGAGCTAATTCGTCATGGTACGTTTTCTTCTTTTTCTCTATACCAATCTCCACAACTTAGCATTGTTGCATCTTAGTTGCAATTGAAGATCAAATTCTTGTCCGTGCACTTTGTAATCTCGGCTTGCCTCTTTGATCTAGCCTGTGATGGGGCCATGCAGCAGAAGTCTATTGGATATTAAAATGATTTGAAGCTCTCTAGTCTCTAAGTCAATTGTTATTAATAGATTGATTAGCTGGCCCTATTATATCATACACGCACAAGAATGATGACACTGTTATATGTGCTGAGTTTTCTGGACTTGCCATTGTCTTGAAACATTTTTATGAATTATGGATGTTGACATGAATTTCTTATTTTGCCTCCTTTATAGACGTGACAGAGCAATTATTGGTTGAGGTTGATCAGATCTACCATCTTGCCTGCCCTGCTTCTCCAATTTTCTACAAATATAATCCTGTGAAGGTGGGTCTTTAGAGTTTTATTCGCATATCTTATGATTTACCATGGGCCTATCATGTATATAATTTCCTGTCAACTGTATTAATTACTACATTACGCATAAGTCCTTCACAACACAATTAAATACCAGAAGGCGCATTGACAACTTTGCATAACAAAATGACAACTATTTTACTATGCTAAGTTGTCAACGGACCGTATGATATTTAACTGTATTGTAGGGGACTTCAACATTAATCTCCCTATTAATTGTGCATTTTCTCCTCCACGCTTTAATTTATACTATAATCATTGATTTGAAAGTTCTATCTGTCTAGTTAATCTTTGAGAAAATCTGACGGTTAAGAAAACTTTACAGACAATAAAGACAAATGTTATTGGAACATTGAACATGCTTGGCCTTGCAAAGCGAGTGGGAGCACGGTTGGGAGATTTTATCCTTTTTTCTTTGTTTGATAGTCTTAATTGATATCTCGATTCAATGAGTTTATTATTTTATTGGGCAGTATTTTGCTTACCTCTACTTCAGAAGTATACGGGGATCCTCTTGTGCACCCACAGCCGGAAAGCTATTGGGGTAATGTTAACCCTATTGGTAAGTACTTAACTTAATCCAAACTTGTATTTATGGCATATAAAATGAGCTGCTATAATTTTAATGATTGTCGTAATTGAGCAGAGTTCGTTGTAAGGCATAGAACTGAATCGCGCATCTCTTTCTAGTATCTACTTTGAGGTGGTTAACCATTAAAACTAGAATTCAAGTGGACGAAAATGGCATTCATTAGTGAATATGAGCTTAAATCATTTGAATACATGTTCTCTTTGTGTTAGGTCTTTCCCGACATACTGGGGGGTAAAAAAGCTAATGTATTAAATAGTGTTTGAAACTAAAAAAATGTTATGTCAAACCTGTAAGGATATTGTCTAACTGAAAAGTATTTCCACAATAGGAGTTCGGAGTTGCTATGATGAGGGGAAGCGTGTTGCAGAAACTTTGATGTTTGATTACCATAGGCAGCATGGAATAGGTAATGTCTTGTCTTTTTTTCCCCCAAGAACCTTTTCTACAATGAGGATGATTCCACTTCAAGTTTTTGTTTGTTTCCAGCTTGTCAATATGTTAACTTCCATCTTATCACAGAAATACGCATTGCTAGAATCTTTAACACTTATGGACCACGCATGAATATTGACGATGGGCGTGTTGTCAGCAATTTTATTGCCCAAGCACTTCGGTAAGTGCTTAATGTTTATGATGTTTTAGACTTTTTACTGAGGTTAGATCCACAGTCAATGTTTTAGCATGGCTTGTTTATATTTCAAGAGAACATTTATATGCTTCTACTCCACAGTCAACGAAAATTTTCTGACTGTAATGGTTGATAATTTAAGGCTTTATAAAATTATGAATGACGAGCTTGATAGGGGTGCTGTTTGCTTGCTTTCACTTCTCATATAATCTTGTATTTCTTACAGTGGAGAACCATTGACGGTCCAACATCCAGGAACACAAACTCGCAGTTTCTGCTATGTCTCTGATATGGTATGTTTGAAGTATGACATTTTTTTTTTCCATTTTGTTTTTTTGTTACCTTGGATTATTGGTGGTGATCTGACTAAAGTACAATGCTTGAAATCTACAAGGTTGATGGTCTCATCCGTCTCATGGAAGGGGAAAACACCGGTCCAATTAACCTTGGAAACCCAGGTTAATTTTCTACGCCAGGACCTTTGTTAACTTTTTTTTTTTTTTTTACTTATGAGTTTTTTGTTTACTTTTTAGGTGAATTTACAATGATTGAGCTTGCTGAGACGGTGAAAGAGGTGAGTCATAAACTATTTTACTTATGTGGTGGGCTGCTTATTTTCTTTGTTGAAGCATTAAGTTCAGAAATGGAACTTACATCTGTGCTCACTACTCTAAAGAGCACCTACTATAATATATCTAAATAATCAATATATAAAATTATAAAAACTTTTATTATTAAATTGACCTTGCAATTAAATCTAGACTAAATTGGTGATGAACACATTTATTAAAAAAAATTATAATTTTTATATATTTTTATTGCAATAAATATAAAATAAATATTTTAAATTTGGACGAGCCATATCTCATGAAGGGTGATGAGCACTGAAGATAGACCCATTTTGAAACTCCAAGATTGTGTGTGTTCAATATCAGTTAACAAAATACCTATAATGGAGTATTTGGTGAAATATTTGTAGTTAATGTTTTGTGAGTGGTTTTGCAGCTTATTAATCCAGCAGTGGAAATAAAGATGGTGGAAAACACTCCTGATGACCCTCGACAGAGAAAACCAGACATAACAAAAGCAAAAGAATTGTTGGGTTGGGAGCCAAAGGTCAAGTTGCGAGATGGCCTTCCCCTTATGGAAGAAGATTTCCGTCTCAGGATTGGGGTTGAAAAGAACTGAACTGAAAACATTTTGCCCCTACATGTCCTAATGAGTATTGGATAATTACTGAGACTAGCCTATCACTTAGCCACATGGGAGATAGTTTATTTGGCAGTTGCTCCAATTTTACTGGAGTTATATATTAACTTGTTCTCCCTGTTCTGTACCTTTTCCCCTTCTGTTTTTGGGGACGTCCGTTTGCCAGCTAGCGACAATAAAATTGGCAAATTGCTTGTGTCAAAATTTTTTGATCAAGGTTTTTTTTTTATTCTTAAACTTTACCTTTAAAGTCTGCGGATGCTTTAAACTTAATATTGGGTTTATTTTCGTTCCTGAACAGCTGTTATGAGTTTTCTTTGTCCTCGACATTAACTCGTGTAACGGGTGTTATGCAGGTCAAACTATTTGCATTTTTTAAATATTTTTTTATGAGAAATAATGATCATTTTTGCCTTCAATTTTTTCACTTGGGATCTGTTGGTATTTGAACTTGATTTTGGATTATTTTTAATATTTTAAATTATATTTTTATGATTAAATATTGTTTGCAGCCTTCTTCTTTCTCTCCCCTCTCTCCTCACCGCCACGTTCTCTCTCCTCAAGAACTTAACATTGATAAATATTAAAAAAATATAAATGATGGGACCTATGTAATGGCTGTTAAGTACGTTAACATTGATTATAAAAATATCCAATGTTAAGTTTAAGGTATTCACAAATCTAAAAAATAAAATTTAATATTAAACTCGATTGTTTAGGTTAAATTTTGGGTGCTAGTGAATATACCAAGATCATTTCAAGATTCACCCTTTTTAAAAAAAAAAAAATCATGGGTTCAACGATGAAAACAAAATTAAAATTGAAAATAGTAACCTTTCAATACAATAATTTAAAGATAAAATTTATAGACCAAGTTGAGATTCTTTAAAATAATTATTATAAAAAGTTATCCAAAATCAAATAAGATTCAGCGTTATGCCTAAATAAGATCATTTTATTCTAATCCTGTTTTTATGATGTACTGAAGATTTAGGTGAGTTGGGATTATTTTGTCAAATACCAAGACTCAAATAAGATTATCATTCACAATTTGTTCACAAACAACATTTTTATATTAATGATAAGATTTGAACTCACATTATTATACAATATACGAGTCATATCATATGAACCAACTTGGGTGAGCTATTATAATTCTATTTATATCCTTGTAGACATGACTAGAATATTCACCAAAAAATTTAATTTGTGACCCTTTTGTTATTACTTTCTTTATATAACTGTTTTTAATTTAATCTCACATGTCAATAAAAATGTATTATTTAGTTGAAATTATATTCAATCGCAATAAGTTTTTTTGATTTTATTTCTAAGAATATCAATTTATATCATGATAATAATAAGTAAAACACATAATTATTTTTTTAAATAAAGATAAAATGATTTAATTATTATAAAATATTACGATATTCTTTATATTTTAGAATAAAATGGGAGTATATTTTATTGAAGTTAATCACAAGATACAGGATATCAATATTTCCTCCGTCCTTATATATAAAAAGTCTTCTAAAATTTTTTTTATCTTTAAATATAAGAGATTTTAGTATATTTTTTAATAAATAGACTATCATACCCTTATTAAATTAAAAAAATAAATATTTTTATTAATTTATTTTATAAAATAATTTTTTATTTACAATAATTAAAGATAAAATTAAAATATTGATATGTTTTTAATTAAATAATTAATTTTTTAAATTTATATAATTTAATTAAAAATATTTTATATATAAGAACAGAGGTATAACTTTACGGAGAAGACAGCCTCGTACAAACGAAAACTAACGAATGTGGCGTCATCACACGTGGCAGGTCAAACCAAGTGGTAATCTTTCACTGACAACTATAGTAACAGCATATTCGCTTTCGCTCAGGCGATCACATGTCGGGGGGAAATGCGAAGGCACTGGCATTATATTTGAACTTTTTTTTTTTTGGGTGGAAAAAATAGTTTTTTGGGCCAAAGCAACTTCCTTAATTAATAATTCCCACTCACTGATCTACTCCTTAACCTCAAATCGCTTCCTGATTATAATAAAATCTGCCGCAGATTCAATTTCCAAATCTTTTAGCTCAACAAAGGCTTTTTGTTGAGAACCCGTTCAGAGTTCTCTTGATCAAGGTAATAAGTCATCCCGTTCGGATAGAAACTTTAATGCTTGATTTTCGCTTGTTTACTTCAATATGACGAGAAGTCGAGAACGGTTTGGTATGGCTTCAATTAATGTTGTTGTTGCCCAGGAGCTTTCATGATTGCCTTCAACTTTCCGTGAGTTTGAAGGCTTTGAAATTGAAATGGTTTGTTGCGAGTTTTTATTTTATCTTAGTTTTTTTAAACACATCAGCGATTAGTGATTTCTTCAAATGTGCCTCTCTTCGTCTATATAAATGGTCTCTCATTAAAGAGCATTCAAATCAGAAGGGAAATTTAGGGTTTTGGTTTGGTCCTCCCCTAAGCTCGCGATCAGGTCCTCTCTTTGCCCCTCGATTTCTCAGTCTGCTTGTTATTGAACCAGTCCTTCTGTCTGTTTCTCCCTTTCCAATAAGCTGTGCCAATTGGCCTTCTTGTCAATAATATATGTGTAGCCAAATGGTTTTATTGATAATAAATTTGATAAACCCATCTAGTGTGTGTGTGAGAGAGTGAGTGAAATAAATATACCTGCTGGAAACTCGTGCAGGAAACTTCAAGGATTCGAATAATGGCAGCCAATTCTTCCAATGGGGATCACCATGCATCAACGAAGGCACCGCCCTTGCCATCTCCCTTGCGTTTTTCCAAATTCTTTCAGGTTGAACCGTCGCATCTGTTAAAATAATTAGTTATTTTCTTGCCACATTGTCATCCTCATCATTGCTAATTTGTTCTCCGGATCATGCTTTGCAAATTTATGTTTATTTAGTTGGTTGTCCTGTTTTTGCCTTTAGGTTGATACAAATTTTTATTATTGATCAGTTACATTTGATCATGGCTTAATACTAGGGGAAATTTGTTGTCTTCCTGGTGGCCATAACGCCTGGATTATTTCGTAGTATGCTATCTATATAAAGCTTTGCATATTTGTCTTTAGTTTTGGACTTGCCCACGTTTTTAATATGTTCATAATCATACGATGAATAACTGATGCTGTATGTAAGTCCAACATGAAATCACGCAGCAAATTTGGATCATAAAATCTGTATTTTTTCTTGGAAGCACACACCACAGAAACTTCAGAGCAAGGAGAATCCTCACTTCAGGGAATACAAATCTCATTAACCTATGCTTATGCATACCTAGTATTCAAATGTATTCTTTTTTTAATTGTAAATTGCATCTTATATCACTTTTCTGTTGTGATGTTTTGTTTCATCAATATTTTTCTCATTCTTGCCAGCAGTCCAATATGAGAATTTTGGTTACTGGAGGAGCTGGATTTATTGGCTCTCACCTAGTTGACAGATTGATGGAAAATGAAAAAAATGAGGTCAGCACTTGTGATCTCTCTACTTATATTTTCATTCATTATATTTATTAGTGATTTTGCTGGTTCTATTTAGAGTAATTATCTTTTTTATCATCACGCAAGTGATAAATTTGAACAGCATATAGAGTTGATTCTGTTTTTTTTTTTTTCTTTTGCCTTTATCAGGTAATAGTTGTTGATAACTACTTCACTGGATCCAAAGGCAATCTCAAAAAATGGATTGGTCATCCAAGATTCGAGCTCAAGCGTCATGGTATTGCCCCATTTTTTATCTCTATACAGGTCATGCGTTCAAATTTCTCACATATCACATGGAAGATGATACAGTGGAGATAATTTTACCCTTTTTGTCTCATTTGATGTTATATGTTTGAACGTCGAATTCTTAAATCTAGGTGAAACTGACTTCTTTTAAATAAAATGCTGTGAAGGTTCATGCAACTAACAGAAGCTTCACAGTTATTAAACTGCAAAATAAAAACAATTAATAGTTAACTGTTACTTCACCAACCACAATTTTGATCAGCGTAAGATATTGTCCTCAGAACATGAACAGAAATGCTGCTTTTTGTGACTGGTTTATCGTCATCCATTTTGACTTTAAATCCATGAATCAATGATGCTCATCCGCTTTTACATTTTTATTCCTTTGTAGACGTCACAGAGCCTTTGTTGGTTGAAGTTGACCAGATTTACCATCTTGCATGTCCTGCTTCTCCAATCTTCTACAAATACAATCCTGTGAAGGTATGCCTGATTTTTTTTTGGTGGGGCCTGAGTTTTCTTTATTTTCTATCTTTTACCCTGACTATGCCAAGTAGATATATTCACGTAATCTATTTGGGAATTTATTTTTGAGGTTATTTGCTTACTAGTTATTCGTGAAAGTAATTCATGCCCTTCACTTTTTCTATTCCCTTTGAAGTAACCTGGTAGAAAATGACAATCCCATCAAGATTTCTAAGTACATCACCCAGAAAAATGTCACAACCAGAAAGCAGCTTACACTATCAATGAGAAGAAAATAGAAAGGAGAAGAACAGATACCCAGACTGCCATTCAAGTATGCTAGCACTCCTCCAATTCCTTCCCTTCCCTCTATTTAGGCCAGGGGCTCCCTTATTGATGTCATTACTCTCTGGGAACCGATCCGCCCCCTCGTGATCACTGTCCCACTTTCTCCCTCATCCCACTCAGCTATAATTTTTCTGTTAATTCCTATTTTACCCCTTGACTCGCATTCCAGATAGAAGGTTTAACATAGTATGATCTTGATTCCCATGCATGTCATATAATTTCAGTATATTTTGGTCTAGCTTATGCCATGCATTACTGGTTGACAGTTTTCTATCTGATAATACTTAGAGACTATCTGAAATATGAGGAAATTATAATTTCACAGACAATAAAGACAAATGTGATCGGTACGCTGAACATGCTAGGGCTGGCAAAACGAGTTGGTGCAAGGTTGGGAAAAAATTTTATTTTAATTTTTAAAAAAGGAAAAAGAATAAATATTTTCAACTATTACCATCAATTGGTCTCAATCATCTGTTTTTCTATACTAACAGGATTTTGCTTACATCAACATCAGAAGTCTATGGGGACCCTCTTGTGCATCCACAACCTGAAAGCTATTGGGGCAATGTTAATCCTATAGGTACATATTTATGGCTGACTCGTCTTATGTCATCCCCTTCTCAAGAGGAAGCATTGCTATTTGCTATTTGTTATTGTTTGACACATCGGTTCAGTAGACATGTTTCTGATGTATATGCCATGAAGATCTGTTCTTTTTTTAATTTGTGTACTGACAAAGTTGCCATTTGCATATCCATCAAGCATTTCTTTCATGACAAAGAGGACTGTTATGAACCTGATAAGCTAAAAGATTGAATCCATATTTTTTCACCATGCAAGCATTTTTTTTAACTTGGGAGTGAAATGGATATTTGTTAGAATTAAAATTAGCTTGTGGCTATATACATCAGAAACATGTCTACTGAACCGTGAGATGAACTTTTTGAACCAAAGCTCTGTCATTGAAAGTATTTTATGGAAAGCTTGATTGGTCAAAGTGAATAGGCATGAATATATAGTCTATGAATACGTGTACATAACAGGGGTTCGGAGCTGCTATGATGAGGGAAAGCGTGTGGCTGAAACCTTGATGTTTGATTATCATAGGCAGCATGGAATAGGTAAAGTCTTGACCTCTTTTTCTTACGTTGCCTCATTTTTAGAAGGGCATAGCTGTATCAAATATTTCTCTATTGAGTCCTTCATTGGTTATGCCTTTTTACTGTAGAAATACGTGTTGCAAGAATCTTCAACACATATGGACCACGCATGAATATTGATGACGGGCGTGTTGTGAGCAACTTCATTGCGCAAGCACTTCGGTAAATACTTTACCATTTTTATGATATTTTGTATGGTGTTATTCTGCATGGATCGCTTATGGCAATATCTGCTCCCATTAAGTATTTTTATCAGTATGCTGATGAGTTAATTGATGACAACGTTCTTCACTTGCTAGAACAATTATTGATTCGACTATCTCCAATCTCCATATTTAAATGTTGGTTGACTGGCTATGACCCTTTTTCCCCCTTCTTTTTTTGACTTTTTCCTAATTTTCAAATTGTTGGCTCACTTTGCTTCTTACTTGAATCGTCTGCCTACTGTAGGGGTGAACCATTGACTGTCCAATCTCCAGGAACACAAACTCGTAGTTTCTGTTATGTCTCTGACCTGGTAAATATCTTCTCTTACGATATGGTGTTTTTTTTTTTTCCAATTGAATTACAAGCTGTAATCAGACCATGTTTGTTTGCTTGAAATCTCTCAGGTCAACGGCCTTATCCGTCTCATGGAAGGGGATCACACTGGTCCAATCAATCTTGGAAACCCAGGTTACATTTCTACCGCAAGACTTGAGTCATATTTTGCCCATGTCGGCTGCTTATTGAGCATGTTTGCTTTTTCAGGTGAATTTACCATGATCGAACTTGCTGAGACGGTGAAGGAGGTCAGTTAAAAGCTCCTAATTAATTTCAAATATATACCATTCACCTGAAAATTAAGCTCTTTGATGGTGGAGTTCATGGTGCAATATTTGGTATGAATGCTTCGTGATGGCTTTTGCAGCTTATCAATCCAAATGTGGAGATAAAGATGGTAGAGAATACTCCCGATGACCCTCGACAGAGAAAACCAGACATAACGAGAGCAACGGAATTGCTTGGCTGGGAACCGAAGGTCAAGTTGCGGGATGGCCTTCCTCTTATGGAAGAGGATTTCCGTCTCAGGCTTGGAGTTGATGAGAGCTAAACTTCTATTACCTCATGCCCTGTCCAAGTGCGAGTAGAGAATAAGTTTTAATCCCATTTGTCCAAGGTCTTTTTCTTTTTCTTTCTTCTTTTTACTGGTTAAATCGGTGTTGCTCCAAATTTTGTGTTTGAAACGATAACTCTGTTTTGAGTTAAATTTCACATCAAGAAAACCTTGGGGGCAGTTCCCATTTAAAATTTTGATATTTATATGAACTGAGTTATTGTTAATTGCATCTCATTCGCTTTGACCTTGTGTAAAAAGACTGCATATTCTTGTATCGGTGGATCAAAAACCAAAATATGATGAAAATAAGGAAGTTGAAAGGAGTGATAATTGATACTTCCTCTATTAAAAAATGTAAAATATTTTTTCAGGAATTGAATGTTAAAAATTATAAGGCATTTTTAATCTTTTGAGGTGTAATCATTTTTTTTTTTCAAAAGTGTCATATTAATAATAATTTTATATTTATTATAGGGTGTTTAATAGGGATAAATATGAAAAGATAGAGTTAGTTTGAAAGTAGGTAACTATTTTATTGAGGTGAGATTATATTAAAAATGTCTTACATTTTTTAATAGAAAAAATAACAAATATCAATATCAATATAAAATGTAAAATCTTTAAAAAGTAATATTGCACTTTTCATGAGTAATTTTTTATTCTTTTAGTATTTTTTTTTCTCATATTTTATTAAAGTTTGTGTAACTAATTTTTATTTCTCCAATATTTTTTCACATGTTTTAATAGGGTTCACTTTTTAAAAGATAAATATAATTTTTAAAAAAATTTCAAGTTAATGTTAATTTTTCATGCATCACAGAAGAAAATAAGATATATTTAATCATTAATTGTCTTCCGTACATAAAATTTTTTTTCCCTGGTTTGACCAAAATTATCTATGGCTAGGATAAAACAAATCCTAAGATGTAACGTTAAAAGTCAAAATGTTTATGGCATTGTTGGGTTGTGAAGCATGAATGGCTTTGGCTTCGTGTGTAGAAAAATTACATATTGGATAGAACTGGGCTAGATAAAAGGTATATAAATAAAAATGACTCATAAACTCAATATCTTATGTCCCATTTGATATGAAAGAAATGATTTTAATGAAAAAATGAATATGAATATGAAAGTAAAAATGCAAATTAAAAACATGTTTGAAATGTTCATAAAATTATGATATAATTTTTAATTAAAATGCATTTTAATAATGGTAAAAGACCAAAATACCTTTTGTTAATATCTAAGAATTGATAGTAAGGAAATAGAATTAGACCTGAAATCCTGGTCTATGTTTGTTTGGTATGACATATTTAAGATTCTTAAGAATCTTGATTCTACCAAAATTCTTAAATCAAATTCCCTCCTCACTCCTAAAGAATTGAATTCTTAGATGATTGAAATCAATTTGTGGAATTTGATTCTACATAAAATTATAATTTGACACACCATACATGCTAAGGTATGATTTTCAATTTAAAATCCATTTTCATTCCCTTCAATTCCACCATATCAAACACACCCTTAACATTTTGAGTTAAGATGTAGTCTCATAATCATGTATATGTATTCTTTTGGAGTTGTTGGGTAGCCTAGCTATGTTCTCTCCTCTTCCAAGATATTCCCTAAGCCCAACAAATGATATCAAAGTCATGTTGAACAAGGAAGCATATTTGTGCAATCAATGATGGACTCACACTTATGAGTAAACTTCGCTTAATGTGAAAAGGAAAGTCTTACATTAGGTAAAATTAAACTAGAGAAGATGTATATAAGTAAAAAGGACATATAAACTCAATATTTTAAGATTTTTGATTAAGATGTGGTGTTATACTCTTTTATATGTTTCCTTTTAGAGTCATTGGATGGTCCAACTGTTCTCCCCTTCTTTAATATACAGACTCACAATCTAAGATGACAAGGTGAGCATGATTTGCTAGAATTTTTTTTTTTAGTTTTAAGAAATGTAATTCATTAGTTTTATTTTATTATAAAATTAAAACTTCATATATTGTTTCACCTCTTCTAATATATTTGGATGTAGCAAACGATAAACAGGTAATTTAGGGCTTTTTTTTTCATTTTTTATTTTTACAAACTGTTTTGTAATATTGTTCTTAGAATTACTTTTCAAAACAAAACAAAACAACAATTTGTTTAGTTATGTTAATTCAAAAATAGTTCTAGAATTAAAAAAATAGTTGTAGGCAATTAATGATGGTGGCTTGTGATAAAAAAATGATCAAGCTAACTATTTTTACAATTATCAAATGTAATTTGTTCAAAAACAAGAAAAATAAAATGAAAATAACTTTAAAATAAAAAACAATTCCGAACAAGCCATTATTCAACACAGTGTTTCATGGATGCTAGGGGATCATTTAAATATTAATAATTGAAAAAAAATAACTTAAGAAATATTTAATAATTACATACCTTATTAACTTTCTTTATATGATTTCATAGTTTGGAATCATTGAATAATTGGTTTATTATCAATGCTTTTAAATATATTTTTTTTCAATATAAATTACAAGAGAATCATTCATTTATAGATTCCTCATTTACTTGTATGGTCAAATTTTCACAAATTTTAGGAAAGCTCTTATAAACATTCAAGACAAAAAAGATAAAATACTTAAAGATAAAATCACATAATGCAAATATTAAAATATACAAATAATTTTTTATACTACTAAAACAATCCAAACAATGTGTGAAGATGACCACCCGTACAAGAAGTATAACTTTTGGGTCTTGCATGAAGAATGAAGACTGCTATTTAAAATTGCTCCTCTCTTCCACCTTTTTGTCTCCTTCCTTCTCTTTCCTTCACTCGTTCAGTGCTTCTTTGTTATTTTTTCTAGTTTCTTGCTTCAAACTTCAAAAACCAGGACGGCAGGACCAATTCCGCGAACGCAGCTCTAGTAGCACGATTGAAGTAGCAAGATTCTTGCTTCAAGTTTTTTGCTTAAAAAACCAGAGGCAGTTGTTGTAGCCAGATTGAGCGACGCGAAGGCACTCTTCAATTTTTTTGCCAAGTTATTCTTTGTTTTTTTTCCTAATTTCAAAACAATATTAATGCTTGGCTATGGTGAAATTGTGGGTTAAAATTTTCTGGACTCTAAGTTAAAAACAATTTAATTTTGGCTCCGGGTTGATGAATTTAAAACGCAAAATATTTAAAAAAGGGTGCAAAATTTGAATACTATTGCTCATATCAGCAATTTTTCTCATTTGAAGGGGTACACATGTCTCCGCGACTGTTGATGGAGACCCGTCCAATAGTTAACAAACCGATAAGATGTGATTTGGACCCTCTCGTTTGAAGATTTCTTTCCCAATTTGAGCTGCGTGCATTAAGAGAGAATATATTGTAAGGAGAATTTTAGTTAAAAGTTAAAAATCAGGAAAGGGACTATTTTAGGTGAATTTAAAAATATTTTAAAATTTTAGTTCAATTTAAGAGAAAAGGTTAAGAAAATTTTGACAATGAAAAAGCTAAAATATCTTTCATATGTTATGCAAAATAATTAGTTATTAATTTTTTTATTACACTTGTTAATTTATAAATATCATTTGCAAAATATGTTCATTTGTCAGACAATTAGCAACATTAGTTGTTAATTTTTTAATTTTAAATGTTAATTTACTAACATTATTTGTAAAGTAATGACATGCATGATCTGTCAATAATTTATAATTAATGTTAGTAAATTACATGATTTATCAGTAATTTACAACTGAAGTAAAGTTAACAATTCAATAACTAATGTTACTATTTATGATTAAAAACTGATGTCAAGTCTTATATAATTATTGATATATCAACTCATATAATTTGCAACTCATATTCATAAATTAACAGGCAAAGTAAAAAAATTAATAATTAATAATTCTGTATAATAAGTAAAGGTATTTTAATTTTTTTCACTGCCCAAATTCTTTTGACTTTTCTTCTTCTTTAAAATGAATTAAAATTTTAAATTTTTTTGAATCCATCTGAAATTAAGTCGATAATGTTTAACTGAAATTCTTCTTATACTGTATATGTTTCATATGATCACGCTATTTTTTTTTTTTTGCCAACTATGATCACACTAATTAAATTTGCGATGTACATAATTCTCTTTATATTGGTTCTTTTTTTTTGGGGGGGGGGGGGGGGGGGGCGCCAGAAGCCCAGAACTATACATTCGAAATCGAGACAAAACACGATCACATCAGTTATCTCCTTCTTCCTTGTAATTGCCAGCCACCATCCTTAACTTCCACCAGCTATTGTCAGGCGTATTTAGATTTGAGTTGGATAAGATTAATTACTAAAAAACATTGATAATTAAATAGAGTTTTAAAATAATTAATTATTAGATGGAGCTTCAAATAATTTTCCCCAGAGTTTCAAAGTCATAATTGATTATTAATTGAAGTTTTGAAAAATGGTGTCTTATGATGATTTTATGGATTATGGAGAGACATGCAAACACATCCATCCTCATACATATCTACCATCTACTAGGGCCATTTTATTTATTTTGAAAATAAAAAAAAAATAATTTTGACGTGGTCAACCAAGTAAAATCCAATAACAGTCATCACATTACATTATGTTTTGGAGAAATTTTAGGCAGGACCCTGACCCAAGATAATAAGAAAAAGAATCATAAAATTTTAAAATTTCACTAAAGGTTCTGTACGGAATTTCGTTTGAATTTGTGATGAAAATAATAAATTATTCTTATTTAAATGAACAACATAAACGACATGTTTGTTTATATACTGTATGTTGCCCATTTACTTATTAAATATTATTTATTTCTCTATTCACTTATTTATAGGCCTACTTTCACTTGATTCCATTTCAAGGGTCATAAATAAGTAAAGTAAGAAAACAAATAACATTCCATAAGTAAATAAGCAACATATAATATGAGAAAAAACAAATTTAGGTTGTTCATTTAAATTAGAGTAATTTTGTCATTTCTAACATAAATTCAGAAGAAATTCCATATGAGGTCCTTTAGTGAAATTTTAAAAATATTAAGGGTTTTTATTTATTATCTTAGGTCAAGGATTCCTACCTAAAATTTTATCTTATGTTTTTCATGTTGATCTTATGCAAGTAACCAAATTCATCACGGATTCAAGTTTTTTGAAGTTGAAACTTGAAATTGATGAATTTAGGTGAATTCTTTTTTAGTATTAATATTTTTATTTATTTTATTATTTTTATAAAATATAAAATCTTCCACCTTTAAAAAAAAAACTTCACATAAATTTATTAATATTAAATTCAGAGGATTAAAATTCATTAATTGCTAGTCCATATTCATTTTCTTATCAATATCTGTCGGTAATAACAAGTATAGATTTATTCTATAATTTCATTAAAGAAATAATAAAAGAACAAATAAATGAATACAAATGTAGCCAGAAAAACTGAATAAAAGTAATTAATTAAAAATAAAAAAATAAAAGGTTCCAAACCAATTGCTCGTAACTATGAAGGCGCCACGTCACGGAGTAACCCTCCCGCCGTTTCTTCGCAGTAACTCGGAATTGGTGATCCGGTCTGGTTTAAAACTACAGCCGCTGTTTTGGCGGTCATTATTTTCGGGGACGGCAGCGGTTTTAATTTTGAAGAGAAGAAACCCGATTCTTGCGTGCATCTCTGACTTACTCGATGGTTACCTCCGAACTCATCCAAAGTCCAAACGACCAAATCCAAATCCAATAAAATGACACGTGTGAGAAATGGTAATCCACATAGCACTCCACTGTCTCCCAGCGCGCCACCTGGCAAAGCATTTGAGCAAAATTCCGCACGTCTCCATCACTGCACCGTGCTCTGCCGTGGCCACCCTCTCTTTCTCGCCAGACTCGTCACTGTTCGCCAAACCATTAAAATAAAAACCACCGTCAGACATACGCCGTTACTAATGCTGATGTATTTGTATCTCAACGTGTAATGTGAGGAATAATGAACACAAGAATGGGAGGGACTTCTTGCTGATTATGTCGGTGTAGTCGGTTAAGACCAAACAGTAGATTGCGATTCATAACTTTTCCCTCTGCTATTGCTGAGTCGATTGGATTTGATTTCTCGCACTGCTATCGCCAGTATCTTTGTAGATGTCGAGGACATGTCCGTATCGGAATTAGGACTAGGGTTTTGTGGTGCATGAGGTTCTGATTCCTCCTGCTTTCTGGTTGCTTCTTCTCGGATATGACTGCTGGAGCTCAATCTGCCCCCCGACGCTCTGGATATCTCGATGCTCTCTCTCAAGCCATTCACAAGAAGCTCCAGCGGGTTCGTTATCTCCTTTTCTCGCACTCTCTTCGAATTTCTTTTAGTCTATGTTTGGATGCTTAAGAAAATGAAATGGATCTGAGAACAGTTGTCCTTCATGGTATGGCTGGTAGCATTTCCTAATTGCGTATTGACTCTTTCTCCTACCGTTTGGATGATATTAAATTAGCGCTCGATATTGGAATATCTTCTCTTTCTATGTTGTCCCGTCTGGATTTGTTGAGACTGAATGTTTATTTCTTAAAATCTCCGCGAATGAGATTATATATCTTTCAGCTAATAGTTGATTTGAATATTCGTCGATTTTTCCATTCTCATAAGAATTAATGATAACTCATACCTGCTTGACTATGCTTTTAAGAAGGCCAAATATAGAAGGGGGCGATTTTTTTTTTTTTTTGGTCTGAATTGAATTACGTGTGATAAATTGTTGCAGGCGATTGTTAATTCGTCGCAGAGGCGCAATCTGCTACAAGAGCTATTTGCAGACATAGCTTTAGAAGTCGATGACCGAGCTAAGGGTGAGTTCTAAACGATGGATGAGAGATACACGATTAGCAACTTGATTTTTCCGCTGAACTAGTTTATATTTTAGGTTCAGTTCACATTGATGCATATTTAGATGCTTTCTTCAAGTCGGCATGTCTGTCTTACGGATTGTGGTTCAAGTCAGCACAGGCCCTTTTTTTTTTTTTTTGAATGATCTGCACACGTTACATGCTTGAAATGTCTACATTTTAAAAGATGATTGTTTTGCTTGAAATTGTGATTACATCGTCAATCACATATTTCTTTTGGATAACACGTTCTCAGCTATATTATGTATGTTTAAGAAAATCTAAATGGAAAGCGTATTGCAGATTACATATTTTGCTTGATGTAACTGATTTAATGAGGTGCCCGCTGAGCGTTAGATCTAAGTAATGGGAAGTTATTTTTAGTTGTATTCACAACTAAAATGGCCCGTTTGGATGGATTCCATGAATCAAGTTTACCTATAATCCTGTTTGGTAATTCATGTTGTTTGGTTTCACCTTAGTAATATAATAGGGATTACATTATGGCTTCCTGATTCCCTTAAAAGCAGGAATGAGGTGCATAACAAAACCTTTGCAATTCCCATTCCCGCTACCTTTCTAACTCTTCACCCTTCTCATCTTCATCATGCGGCGCTGACACTACACCCATCATTGAATGAATCTGTTCCCCTTCCTTGTGTGCCTCCATCCTCAACCTCACTGGCGGCAACAACCTTCGCTTCTCCTCATCGTTGGCAATGACATCAACAACACCACACCACCTAAACTAGAACCCTGTCGCCCCTGTTCAACTTGCAGATCTGTGTTCACCACCGGATCCATTTGACTCGGCATCCCTTGCTTGCTATATTAGATTAGCGAAATCAATCTCCATGATTATGGTTCATTGTTGCTTTTGTATGATTTCTATGCAAGGTGCCATTAGATTAGTTGTCCATTGTTGTCGGTAGTGGGGTGATGGGCGATGATGGTGTAGAAGATAAAAGAGAAAGGGGGTGCCTTTTTTTTAAAATTTTTTTAAAAGGATAGTTGTTTTTTTAATTTAATTTGTATTTAACTAAATATCAAAAATAAATTTTATTTTACCATTCCTAAATGTCATACCAAACAAATACCATGTAATCATCATTTCATTACGTTATATTCCCTACCATTATATTACATTACACTCCCTTTATTTCTTTGAACCAAATGGGCCCAAAGTGTTGATCATTGTGGTCAAAGTTACATACGTTCTAGGAGTCAAAAAAATATGTTTTTGGGCGCTTCTGTTCTTAATTTCAAAACAGGTTACCAATTGCAAACACTAATCTTTGGACATAAATAGATATAATTTTCGGGAAGGATGAAGATGCAATTTCTTCATCAGCTGACGGTGATGGCCTGTTATGTTTCTATGATGTGCTTGCTGATTATTTTGTGCGGATGCCTGAAAATGGAAAGCCTATCCTTGATTTGATTGTCCAACTGTGGAGCCAGTCATTTGCCTCCCATATTTTTGCTCTCTTGTTCCACAAATGGGTATGTAAGTAGATGCATCTACTGTATCATGTTATTTACTTGACAGTATCTTTTTTCTTCGTTAGTTGTGTGATCTTTCTTACTGTTTTGTTTGGGTGTTTAAATGTATGAACTTTCATCTGGATACTTGCCTGCAATAGAAATGAATTACTCAGCTTCAGTAGTATTTCTTTTTTTTTCCCAGTTATTTTTCTTATTTCAATCAAATAAAGGTGAGCATATAGAATGACATTGATGTTGGTTTTTCAATCATGATCCTCATTCATTAAATACTGTTAAGTATTAAAAGGCAATCTAGACTATTTTTGCCATTCTGTCATTTAAAGAAAGAGGCATTTTCCATGAATTAGAAACTGTTTTAGCTTAGTGTTGTCACTTGTCTGTACACCTGCATTTTCCCAGTTCCATCATCATCATGCTAAAGACAACAAAAAACCCAATTGAGACCAACCTCTTTCCCCATGCTTGTAACCTTTTTTTTTTTTTTTGGGGGGCAAACCCCATGTTTGTAACCTTACAGTCAGAAATCTTATCCATATAATTAGTCCTGTTTCATTTGAATTGGACCTTCACATAGCTACATTGTATATCTAATTTTGTCATGGCTTGATGTTTGAGGTTCGATGAGACGACAACTGTTTCTAATTTCATTCTAGATTCCATTGGTTAGTTTTCATAGCTTTTTTCTCCCCATAAATTGATATTTATTGGCATTAATTGTGCGCCTCCCTATAATAAGAGATATAAATCAGTCGAGCTTCAACGTTTTCAGTATCCAGTGTTATTTGACAGTAAAATGCTTCTTAATCAATGATCAACAAGCCAAAATGAATTGATTTAAAAATCTGTGCTTTTGGCACAACAAAGGGAACAAAATAAAGTTCAATTAAAATTAATTTTAATTTTTAATGCTACCCTGAGCTTGTACTTTGCAACTAACTCTTTTGCCCTAGCTTCCTGTAGTGTTACAAAATGACTACTGCCTTAGAACTTCTAACCTTTATGCAGTTATTTGAGGTTCAACTTGACAATCCAGAAGTGCTTCTTCGCTATTCATCTGCTTTGGTTCAAGGCGCCACAAATGTTTTCTGGTATGAATTCAAGTTGTTATAAATGGCTACTAAATTTTTTATTACATATAACTGCCTGCCAGGCCTGATCTAATCTTGTAAATTATAGATCTTGTAAATATTGTTATAAAATGTTATCCTTTTTATTTACGGGTACAAAAGTGATCCTATGACCTCATGAGAAAACACTTATCTATTTCTTTCAAGAACAGTAGCTCATACTTGTTTACCCATTTCCAAAGCTAAACCATGTTTAGCTAAACTATCTGTGCAAGCATTAGCAATTCTAGGTTTGTATTTCATTTTAAACCTCCCACAATCTAGCCAACAACTCTTTCAGTGTTCTGTACAGGAGATCCAACGACTCAATAATTTCCTTCTATAGACTCCTGACCAAACAAGTGCATCAGATTTTACCTCAACTCTTCTAAAACTCAGCTCCGATGCTAACTCCATCCCCATAACCAAGCCCCATTCTTCTGCAGTTAAATGCATGACCGCCTCAAATCAGTGGGAAATCCCAGAATCCATCTTCCATCCTGATCATGAATAACTCCTCCCCTGGGTCATCCACGCAAGCTCCACCTGTATTTAATTTAACCCACCCTTGGCTTCCCTAGTGCTGCTTTCCATCCTCCCTTCATATCACAACCTGGCTAGCCTAATTTCTTCTATCGCATATCATCTGGCTTTGACAGCATAATCAACCCAACAGAAAACCATATTTCTTGTCTCCTCATTTGAGTGACTGTTAGCACCGCCAAACACCTATCATTTCTATTTTTCCACATTTTCCTGCGCCACCCCTATAATTGTGCGTGGTCTATCCCTTTCTTCTTCTCTCTTATTCACTTCTAACCACTGCACAATTGGATCTCTGAAGAAGCCACCTCAGCTTCTTTTCTTAACCAAACCCCTCCAGAAATCCACAGCAGTGTGACTGTCTCTTGGCACCTAAGTTGTGTGAATCTTCATATACCATCCTTGGACAATAATATAACGCCATAAATCAAGCTTGATATTTGAATTCATCCATAATTTTCAACTTCTAAAAGGAAAAGGTTAAAAATATGACGTTATAAATCAAGCTTGATATTTACATCCTTCCATAATTTTTGACTTCTAAAAGGAAAAAGGTTTAAGTGTTTTCCAACTTTCCATATCAATCTTGAGATTGTGTGAATTTATTTGCTTCAACCTTCAAGTCAATTTCTTTGTCCTTTTTAATTGTCAGTTCAAAAAGAATATATTCCAAGCAGCAGAATAAAAATGATGGCAAATGTAAAAACTCACGAGTCAATTTGCATGAGCTACAACCTCTTGGAATGGACTTAGCAGCTTTCTGATAGACTTAATCTAATCCTGAAACGTTCTTGCAATAAAATATTTGGTCATGAACAGGATTGACATTCAAACAAACACAAGGCGTTTCCAGTCCCTCTTTCATGTAAGAGTCATACTGATAATCTTATGTTTATATTCCATATATGTGATTTTGAACAATTTGATTGATGGTAATGCTTAACAATTTATTTGTGTATTTTTATTTGTATTTTTCCCCTTGAGTTCAGTACCTTCTGGAGGATGTTGCATTGGACAACTCACGATTGAATAAAATTCCTGTACAGGTCAGTTCACCCTTTGAACAAAAGATAAAATTCCCTTTTGTGTTATTCTTGCTTGCAAATGTATTCTGAAATTCACTACTCTTCACAAAATTATCAGGCTCAGCGAGAGATGTATCTTTTGCTTTCAAGATTTATTCTATTTTATAACTCAGGTAAACATCATCAGGAATGGTGGGTGAGCCTATTGACTGGGAATGGCACTATTATCATATAATAAATTGTTCTACTTGCAGCTGACAAAATGGAGAGCTTCTTGAAACAATGCCCTGATTTTCCAAACGCAATATTGGTTGGTGGTCCAGCAGATATATTCGTGACCGAACTGACTGTTCAAGTACATTTCATTGCTCGGTAGTCATTTTTACCATTAAGAAATCAAGATCTAATCCTGTCTGAAGCTGTTGAAATTCTTTTGTTGGTCAGCTTCAAAAGTTAAAAGTGGAACCGGTGCTGCTACATTACCTTAAAGAAATTAAAGTACTTCAAGGTACAATTTATCCTCCAGATGCTTTAGGCTGAATATAGGCTGACACTCTTATCTCGACCTTACCTAGTTTTTGCTGTGTTCTTCGGGTCATATTATCACAGGGATGGAACTGAGACTGACTTCAAGTATAAGATTGAAAACATGCTTGTATAGTTTCACTTCTCCGGGTGGTCCATTGTATCCCACTAGAACTGTCCGTCATGCCGCATGGGAAGCATTAGATTTGCTTTTTCCAGTGAGTATATTTATATTTTATTTCTGTTCCTTCGTGCTCAAATTTAATTTATAAACTTAGATGAGCTCCATTTCTGTTATCTTTCGCCCAAATGAGTGTCCTGTAAATTTTTTTAGCCTTCATTTCTTGGATAACAACCGAGTTTTCGGATCATTCAGTTGATTTTGCGCTGCTAATGCAAATTTTTAATGACGCGGTACAGGTTGGGCGATATTTTAGGCATCTCATAAGTCTCTTCTTCAGATTGCTATATCCATGGTACTGGCCCTCCTCATGTTGGAACTTCATGGTTTCTTGTGTGAAGGCAGTATTTCTGTATTTATGGAGATTCATCCTTTCTTTCTGGGAGAAGTTCGGCAACCCAAAATCTTCGTAGATTGCCCCACTTCTAGCTTGCCATTTTTCCCTCTTTTTTTTGGGTGGGGAAGGGGTGTTCAGTTTCTTGTTGACGTGCATGGCTGAAAATTTCAATTTTCAGACGACAGGCACGGTAAATAATTTATTTCCAAAAGGATGCATATCATTGCAGCAAGGGGGCATGGAGTGACCCTATGTCGAAATTTCCTGTGCTTGTTACTCCCTAAACAGGAACTGTAGAAAGTTCGGCACGGTCTAGCTTCAATATAGTAGGCAAAAGTGAATGATTTAAATCCGTCATGAATTTTGAGGAAAATGTTGCCATCACAAATAGTTTGTTGTGTTCTGCTACTAGACGACGGTTTAAATATTATACATTACCAAAGAACCACACCTCAGTAAAAAGATTCACGAGTCTCATGCTTCTCTCAAGATGACATAAAATTTGAAGGTTCAGAGAGCTATAATCAGGCGCTGAAATTGTTCAAGAGAAGCTAAGAGCGGCATTGTACAATCTCGAACCGCTTATCCGTAGTCCACAGGATGCATCAACAGAGATTTGCTGCAACAGCCAAGAGCTTCGCAACTCTAGACAATGGATAAACTTTAACTAGTTAATGGACTAATGCATCCTTCACAGGGCACATAATGGACAACGGAAAATTATTAGGGCTGTGGCCTCTTCCACAATAAACTCAACAGAGCAATAAAGATGCAAAGTTCGGTGGAGCCCTCATACCGATGGCCTGTGCACTAGTTCCACTGTAATCAGGCAGCATGTAAATCCTCCCACAACAAACCAGTAGTTAGGAAGGCGTACACAGGTATGACCGTAGGGTATTAGGTCCGACACAGCCACCAAATCCCAACTGCCAACCGACCAAACTCCGCTAAATGTGAAAAGCCCTTCCCATCTTTATCAATTTAACTTGTAACAGATAAATTCTGAATATTGACTAGCACGCAAAGCACATCACGAGATTTTGAAAACTGCAGGTCTTGCGAAAACAATTCAGCATTCTCGACAGGCAACAGAACATGAATGCCGCAGAAATCGTCTGCATAGCATCAAAGCCTACTCCTGTAACAACCCAACAGGGAATTTCTAAATCTTCATTGGCTGACCTGCACTACCTTGACCCGTGCACTCAACTGGATATGTAAAGTAAAACAGATGATGGATTCCATCTCACTAGATAAATATGCCAGAATTACCAAAATAGTCAACGACAATGTCCTCTTAACACAATATATAAGAAATTTCTTAAGACGACAAATCGAACCAGCTAACAGCATCTACCAATCAGGCAGTTACAACAGGCCAAAGTTATGATAACGATATCACAAGATTTTCTTTCTCGGGGGCGGGGGGCATGCAGGAGGAAGGAGCAGGGAATCTACCTCATTTGAAGATTCCACTGTCTAACCAACTCACAAAGCAGCAGTTGGTGAATTCTGCAGCCTCATATCTTGCAGCCAGTGCTTGCTTTGTATGAACAGATGAAATCATAGTTTCCCCTTCCATGACCCACTTGTTGCTTAAAACAAATGATTAAAGCCAATGAAAGCAAGCATGCGCGCAGATAACATGCTGACCTCTGATTGTCAACCCAGATTTCATACCCAAGGATAAAGAATAATAGACAACAGAAGCCCAAACTCCATACATCAAGTCGTTAGTTTCCACTCACGAAGCATCTCTCCCTTCCCCTAAAAAGTAGGACTGTGATAAAGATACATAAATAGGTGCCATTCTGGAACCAGGCACCTGACAACCACAGAAGCAATAGGAAAAAAACTAGAACACATGACATGGCCTTCAGTTTATTTGCATTGCCTCTGAATGATACTTCTCCAACTCAGCATCAAGATCTTCTGCAGAAACCTTCTCTCCACGACCTCTTCCACGTCCTCGACCCCTCTGAAAGCCACGTCCTCTACCTCCACCACGTGGCCTTCCAAGTGCCCCACCCCTACCTTGGCCACTGCTCAAAAGACAGATTTAGGACACATAAGCCTTCAAACAAAAAAGAAAAAGAAAACTTAACAATCACAAGATTACCCTCTTTCTTCAGACTAAAACATAACCTCAGGTAATAAAATAAAAACAACTCAGTTTCAATGCTTAATTCAAATTCCAGAGCTCAAGGCGGCCCAATGTTTACACATGCGGAGCAACAAAATAAACAAAATTACAAGAGATCACATGAATTATCAGTTTCCTTGCAATCCAATTATCTACCAGATATTGCAGAAGACATTCAAAGACCAACGCATTGAAAATCATCTTCCTAATAAGCTCAAAGAATAGGATACATGCGCACAGTAACCACAAAAATGTTAGAACGCAACCTCGGGGTATTCTGGAATGCAAACCGATAAACGATTCCATGCTCTGTATTTTGGAATTTAGAATTAATTAGTATAAGAATTACTTTAGAATTAATTCCCTGGGTCATAAAGAAAAACTCGCCTTTATAAAGAAACAGTTATCTCAAAAAACCGAGCTCTTTAAAAACACAACTTCCAACAGACTTTTTGACTACTCTTTTTTTAGTTACACCAAGAGAGTTTGAACCCTTGACACTATCTCTAACACATCCCACACTTACCACCTAAAATTAGTTTCAACTGGCAACTTTAGACTACTTTTAATAACACTAACCCAACTGCGAGTTTAAATCTCCAAGCCAAAGTTTCATTGACTTAATACATAGGAGGAGGATGACACATAGGTGATCCATGAAAGAATCTTCAAAACATAATGAAGAAAAAAGGAGTATAATATTCTGGATGAATTCACGACCCTAAGGAGGAAATCATCTGAGTGCTGACAGTAAAAAGATATAAAATGACTATAATTAGGTTATTGGCAGCACAAATGTCAAACCACACAGCTATCTCTATTGTAAAATATAATCCCATTTTCTACAGCTAAATCATTGAAGATATTTCTCAACCATCTTTCGCAGCAAGCTCAGAAAAAATTCCAAACACACAAAATCAGAAACAAGCAATAAAAGACTTCCTCAAATTTTCAAACAAAAAATATATATACTACATGCACTGCAAGGTGATAATAATATGCAAGAAATAATCAATCAAGAATCAGATAATTCAAGATAATCAATTAATTAATTCATGAATGAAATATCCATTGGTGAAGGGCATACATTCTAGGAACACCGTTTGTATTTCCAACAGCTCCATTGGCAGCAGGAGCTGCCGTAGGTGTGGCAATGTTCGTCCCCACAATCTCTATCTTCATTGGTTTACCATCAAGTTGAACATTGTGGTATCTCTTCACAGCGGCTACAGCATCAACCCGTCGTGAAAAGACTACTTCTGCTGTGCCCTAGAAAAGTTTTATAAAATGCATCAGTACAAAGACGATTTCATGAAAAGGACCAAATATGGCAACTTGACAAAATACCTTTGATCTGCCACTCCTGTCGTAATGGATTGCATACCGTTTTAGGTCACCAACTTCAGAAAACAACTCCTATAAAAATGCAATAAAAACTTTAAACATGACACATGAAATTTCTTTAAGTATCTCAACCTTAAAATTTGAAACAAAAAATAAAAAGGTAAAAAATCAAAATATGAATGAAGCATTTTTTTTAAAATATAAAATAAGAGACCAAAAACAACTGACTAAACATTTGTACACATGAAACTTCGTAATTGTAGGATTAGTTTCTGCTAAGGCAAAAAAATACCAAAAAAATAAAGAACTTAACAAAATTCCTCTATTTTTGTTTCGTACTGATGAGATTTGACACTAATCCAAGCCTAATGCATGAAGTCACATCGCGAGTGCATTATGGATGTATTAGAATTGAAATAAAGTCAATTGAAGTTAAAGCGCATGCATACAATTAACAAGACAAGAATGCATAAACTGTAGGTCGTAGGTAAAGCCATAAGAAACAAGGTCAAATAAAACACGGTGTGTAACTATACCAAGAACTGTTATATAACAAACATACTGCTACTCATCTATATCCACAGGAAATTCATAAGCTCTATAGGTCACAGGAACCAATAAATATGCAGGTTCAGAAAAATTAAAATTCTAAACGAAAACCACCTGAAGCCTCTTTACTCACACTGATCTAAAATTCAAAGGTACAAGTCATGCCAAATCAAAAACAAAACGGGTTAAGATCGAAAGTTATGGGGCGAGTTTGTAGGGAACGTAAAACTGTTATTTACAAGAGATAGATGCATGTTAGGACCGTTAATATTAAATAGAACAGTACCTTAATATCCTCGTTCGAAACACCGTAATCCAAATTAGATATGTAGAGCTTAGTCCCGGTTTCTATAGAAGACGCTCGACCACCTTGAGCTGCGAGCGGTGCCACGGGCTGATCTGCAAACATATCATGCTGCCATGTCGCCTCCGGTGCCTGATCGTCCAAAAAATGAAGATAAATCAACCTGGTGCTCGCATAACGTCATCTAACTCAAAGGAATATCGAATCGAAAGCATGTGGATTTTAAAGAAGCTCGCCGAAAATTATCAGAATCTTTGGTATACCTTTGTAGTTGTGTAAGGAGCTGCACGGTTGGCGGCACGATTGGGGAAACGGCGAGTAGGACCAGGACCAGATCCTCGGCCGCGACCTCTGGAGTTACCAGATCCAGATTTCTTGTTTTTCTTGATGATATCATCAAGGGTCATATCCAGAGCTGCAGACATGACTACTAACTTTCACCTTCAACACAGAAACAGAGAGAGATAGAGATCGTTGGAGCTTAAAGAGAAAACGGACGGGAGGAGGAAGATTAGGGTTCCCCGAAGACTCTTGTGGTGGGAGCAGGGTAATAAAAGATCCAGCAGTCTTATCAGCCGCTGGTAAAAGGGCCGACTCAAATGTCACAACCCATAAATATTAAAATAAATAAATAAATAAATAATCATAATCATTATCCTCATCACCATCATTTAATTTCCATAATTTTACCTTAATTATAATTTAATTTTTAAATTTTAATTTATTATAATTTAATTCTTAAAATTTTAATTTCATTATAATTTATGACCCGTTTGATATGATAAAAAAATTTTAAAAAAAGTAAAAATAGAGTTAAAAATAAAATTGAGTTTAAAAATATATTTGACACGTTAATAAAAATGATATATAAATTTTAATTAATATATTCATTTATAATGTAAAAAGATTTAAAAGCCCTTGCTTCGAAAACCCCTGCCCACCACCCTGCAGTCATTCAGTTTTGAATTGAAACCACCATACAAGCACCCTGAAAATTGAAACTAAAAGATCATCAACTCATATAAAAAAAAAAAGCAAAAGAGAAAAC